GCCATTTTTCAATCCTTCGTCCCCTCCCCCCTGTTATCTCCCTTCAATTCAAAGCAATTTTGTGTGGCCTATAACGGCAATTGGCAGAGGGCGTTGAATCCGTAAAACAACGCCCTTGTATTTTTAGGTCGTCGTCGCAGCCTTGCTTAGTGAGAAAATCAGAGTTTTGTTGGGCGGCTGGAATTCTTTCGTCTCTTTTCAGAACAGGCGCCGCCGATGTTGAGATGAAATCTCACTTTCTTCCTCCGCCCCTCGTATCTCAGAATTAAACCCTTTCCGGCTTGGCTCTTTGTATCCTCTAGGCCCTTTTTCTTCCTCCTTGGAGGCCTCGAGCTCGTAATTAAGCGGTCTGTTCACTGAGAAAACGGTGAAGGAAGAGGGAAAATTGCCCAAACCGAAGGCGGGGTTATTAGGTATTAGAGGGTAGACCAAAAATTTGGCTGTGCAACCTGTGGCGGACGCAAGGGAGATGTCGCGCAACTCAAACGATGGAAATTACAGTGAGACAATTGTCTTATCGATACATTTGCGAGGCCATTGTTTCTATTACGATTTCAATCTGCACTCTTTTATATCCTGAGCAATTTTTCAACCCGGGTTTTTATCGAGAATACGCAGCATTGGGCTCCGCAGTTATGCAAGTTTCCGCTGTTTTTACGGTTGAAACTTACCCTACAAGATGGCAGTTTTTGATGCGTTGATACACAAAATCCACGCACAAGCATATACAGGAAACAGAAAGTGCACGGTAAACACACATATACACACGTATACGTAGTGAACCTCTAGAATTACTTTAAAATGAATATATGCTGCTGATGAGATAGCATACAGTCCCGTTGTGCGCTATAATCTATAGTCTATACCCTCGATGTTGTGTATCAACCATCTATTTCATACAAGTCCGTAACCTCTATGGACGTAAACGAAGGACATGAAAACTCCAAAGTCTAAGTACTCGACTCTAATCTAAACCCAAAACACCGAATCATGAAGTATAAGAAAATCAACGAAAGAAACAAGTCATAAAATCATAACATGGCAATCCGAGCACGTTCCGTCTAAATGTCGGCCTTTTCACACTGAGGCACATCGCCGTTTGTGACCTCTTTGATGAACTCCGGGTCTGGGTTGAAGAGCATGATGTGGAAGTGCTCCACGGCATGAATCGACTTCAGAGCAGCCCAGTTCTTGAACCACATGACCTGGCCCCGAGTCAGCATCAGAGTGGCTTCTTAGAAGGGATCATCGGCTCAAGTCGATAGTTTTTGGACAAGAAGCGAATCAAAGGTCACAAACTCACCTGGTTTGAAGGCATTCGAGACCGGAATGTCCTGGTCACAAAGTCGTCGATCTCCCTCCTCGCCTTCTCCGTCAGGTCGCCAGTGGCAGAGACTGCCTTGAGCTCAAACTTGGTCCAGACCACCAAGTGCACGATTCTAGGATCAAGCCCATAGGGCCAGTCGTTGTGAAGGATCTTGTAATCGTCTTCGTACTGGAACGGAGCGCCGCGAGGCACGACGGGCAGTTCCCAGCGCAGACGCTCACTCAGGACAAAGTTGGCGATGCTGCCGTAGAGCTTGCCCAGGCGGTAGGTAAAGGCCTTGTAGCGCCGCAGGTTGGAAGGGATGCGCTGGAAACGCTCCAGGTTGTTTGTCCTGATGAGGTAGCACACTTCCTCCCATGTCTGAGTGCGATACTCTGAGTCTGGAGTTGACACCGTCCGGAGATCTTTCGGGTTGAGGCCAAGGAGGAAGGGAGGACAGTGAGGCGTCCGCTCCGGTTCGGGGACGTTGATGTGCCAGAATGGGAGGCTGATGGTGACACTCAAAGAACCCATTGTTGTTTAGATGGAGGGAGGTTTTTTTTCTTTTCTTTTTTTGTTGCCCGGAGAATATCTCGAGTGCTGGCGGTTGGCAAATGGCAACGAGATATAAGGCGTCGGGGCGGACGATGCCGAGGGTGGATTCCGGAACCGGACAGCGACCAAACGTTGCCACCTGCTCCCACTAAAAAGACAAACGGTAAACTTTAGTCTGGGGATATGGTTACAGACAAAGTCTCAGTGGCGTATCTTGGTTACAACGAAAAGATTAGGGCAGCGGGCGCTGTGAGGTTTCAAAACAAATTCAAGAGGACTTCGTGGGGTACATGGCGAATATAAAGGCAAAAAGCCATATCAGACTCTGGCCAGGAATCAAATGCCAGAAGATTCCTCGTCACTCAATCACTGCAACAACAGACTCCACTAGGCTGCGTTGCTGGGAGCTCCGGATGTGTCATCGTGGAACTCGATAGAGACGGAAGAGAGAAGAAAAGGCAAAATGCAGTAGACGCCCTGCCGGCGCTATCTAGGCCAAAGCTGCGGCTCGGCGGTGACGCTTTTTTTTTTTTTTTCTTTCTACTTTCTACTTCGGCATCGTCGACTTGGAGCGCCAGATGCAACGTTGTCGTGGGAATACTATCGGGATGCACGGACCATTCAAGAGCCGGCGTGATGCCACGGGTCTTGTGACTGGCTGGCTGGGCTTCATGTTTGGGGCGATAGAGAGCGTTTTAGTGGTCGTTGCAGAGCGCTGATAACGATTGCAGACCCGCTGGAAGGTTTTCATGGGCGGTTTTCCGATTGCCCTATTGCCTATCTAGGCACTACGTGGGCTTGTGTGGATCACGTAAGCCGATGATGGCAGTGGCATTTGCCCGGCAATGGATACTCCGGTCGAGGCATTGGGCAGGCGCGGAAACTCCCATGCGCGTCATTGTTCTTCGAGAAGGAGGTCGATTTGATGTACACAAGTGCAGCTTGTTTTTTAGTTATTTAAAGATGTTTGCTCTCCCTCCGTGCTAGCAGCAGAGTCCGTCGCTTTTTGCCCCGGTCAGGAGAATCTTTGTGGAGATGGAAGCTGAACGGCCGCTTTGATGCTATCCAGAGGCGGAGCAACCGCGGGAAATTATCGTCATTTCTGCAGTGGACCAAAGAGTTTGTTAGCGAAACGGTAGCAATATCTGCGGTACCGTGCCTATTTTTGTCTTTGGATATTTTTTTTTTCTCTTCTTCTTCTTCTTCTTCTTCTTCTTCTTCTTCATGAGCCCAATATTTGCGTGGTTTTGCAGAGTCTGAGTCTGATTCCGAGCAATGCCAGTGTGTTGTTAACCCCACGTGTTTGGGCCAATATAAGCCCGGGCTGTTTACAGGAGATACGGAGTAGCGGAGGTCGTAGGTAGTATTGGTGAGTCTACACAGGTAATGTGTCGATGCCTAACCCAAAATCCCGATGATAACATGAGAAAAATTTTTCCACTCCCTCAACAGTTGTGAGGTTTTGTTGATGCTAGTATGGCGTCTTGCGGCCGCCAGCGTATGAGATATGCTTGTTGCTAGGCATGTTAGTTTGACACTTGGGATGCTGCATCGTGGCGCTCTCAAGCGTGAGGCCGCTCGGATGACCTCTACCGACCAGAGCCGGCACTACTGCCGGCTAGCAGAACTTTAGTTTCTCTTGTAGGTAATATGGAGATGTTTGGGAAAGGGACATGTCAAAACTCGTTATTGACCGAATTCGAGCGGATGAGCATCACCTCCCTTGTTTCCCCTATGCGATCTGACTCTGCACATGCGCTCATCAGGAAGTAAACTGGCCGAGACCAGGCCCGAGGCATTTTTTTCTTCCTCCTTGAGGGGATTACAGGCCTATCGGCACGCAGCCCAACGACAGCTTTTTGGGCAGCCAGACACAACCATCTTGACATTTCGCCGCAGACTATGTTATCGCCTCTGGGCGCTGATGCATATTGCCGTGCATATATACAATCTCAGCCCACCACACTGCATGTGAAAAATCTTTCTGCTGTGCAACCTATTCATAGCAATAGTGTGAGGAAAGAGAAATTTTTTTTTTCTTCCCACAGTCTGTCACTGCCTGGCTCTTAGTTTATCTCTCATCTTTCACTCGGACACGCCTAAAGCCAAAGCGTGGCATCTTGTTGGGAAAAGATTGGCATGCGCTGGTACCTGGGTACTTAGCCTGTACTTTGTAGTAGCACACAATTGGCCGCGTTTTTGGCTTTTTTGGAACAATAAGCTTGGGCCGTTAAAGCAGGCAGCAAAAAGAATGTGGCGGGGTTCGTTGCTGAACTGCGGATCCCCCTCCCAGCTTGGTTCATTGTGCAAAGTGGATGGGCGCTGGTTTGGCCCCTCCGAAGAGGCTGTTTTGGTCCTGGAACTTGTCTCTCCTAGACAATGCCGCGGAGGCAAACCAAGACAAAAGACTCGAGCTGCAGTTTACTTAGTAGAGAAGAGGCCGGCGAGAGCAGCTGGAGCTCCCCATAATGAACGACAGAGTTCCGGTGATTGGACCCCCCCGGCCGGACCTTGGGCTCCTTTTCCAATTTCGGCCGGGATAACTCGCGCCTCCAAGGTCGATGCGAAATGCTAGTGGGGAGCGTCGTGATTTGATTGTTCAGGGGAATCGACACAGACGATTGGGATCCAGAAAAAGGAGCGGCAGCAGCAGCGGCAAGCCATTGGGCTAATGATAAAGGGGCTGCCCCCGTTTTCTGTTAAAACCAGAGCTCTCTGGCATTGAAGCCTCGTTGCATTCCTCCTCTCAAGCACCTCCTCCAGTGACGCCTCCAGCTCCTGAGCCTGCCGTGTCTCTCTCATCGTACGTACCATCATCGCTTTTCGCCCCCCTGATTTGCGTCTGCGCTGCTGCTGCTGCTGTAAGCCTGCTTGCTGCACGTCCCGTCTTCCATTGACGTCAACACTGCAAAATCGCACATGCAACTACACGCAACACGCAACACGCAACACGCAACGGCACAGTGCTCCGTACAAAGTAGTAGCATTTCCATATTAACTGGGCCGCGCTGCTAGGTTCTTGGAACTAAATATCCTGCTTGGGGGAAAGCTCAATCCACCCCGCCAGACCGTCTTCGCACCCCACCTTAAGACGCTGATACTCCCCCCTTCTTCGACGAGAGATCATCGACGCTCTTCTTCCCAACTCTCCTCTGCAACAGTTTCGTTTTTTTTTTTTTTTTTCCTTTTCTTTTTCGCTGCGATCCGCCGGAAATCGAAGCTCGCCAGCGCACGAGGCGTCTCACAAGCAACCACAAACGAGCAAACACCCATCACCAGACACAATGTCGGCAATCAAGAGTGCTTTGCCAACGCACCTCAAGCCGAATCCCGATGACAACGGATTCGAGCAGCGTCACCACGGCAAGACTCGCAGTCACATGGTAAGTGCTTGTTCAATTCTTTCTTTGAACCAATCCTGGGCTCCCTTTCCAGAGTCTTTTTGTATTTTCCGCCATGATTTTGGTCTACGGCCGCGATACAAAGCTCTGGGTGAGGGGCAGGGAGCTATGCTTGGCGCATAGCTGGATGGGCGCAATGGCGACCTACATACCCCTCATAGCTGTGCTTTGGCCGTGTTAATGCGCGCACTACGCCCGCCCGCTGGTTGCGGCAAACATGGTCATGGTAAAGCAAAAAGGCAAAAATAAGGGCCTTGGGAAAACCTAATGGCCGCGGGAGTGGCTTGACGCCTTGTGCACTTGGTTATCAGGTGATGGACGGCCGTGATTGCTGAGCGCCATCGCAAGCGTTTCATCTAATCACGGCCGACAGGCTCTGCCCATAGCTGCGTTTGCCTTTTTTCCTCTTCACCTCTGTCCATTTGCTCTGCGCCCTGATGCTGCATGCTATGCCGCCGTTACTGAAGGCTTCAAAATGTCACCGAATAATGATTCCAAGGAGCGCGAGCTAATTGATCACGCCCAGGCCTTTGAGAACACCTCGACCAATGTCGCTGCCGCTCAGATGCGAAATGCCCTGACCAACCTCGCCGAGACCGTTGAGGACCCCAAGGAGAAGAAGGTAAGCTCGACAAGATGACAAGGCGCCAAGCGCTATGGTGGCTTTGCTAATAACGCAAATCGCTTCTTTAGCTGTTCGAGACCGAGATGGACAACTTCTTTGCTCTCTTCCGACGATACCTCAACGACAAGGCCAAGGGAAATGCCGTGTATGTTTCCCCCTCCCTTTTCCTTCCCCTTCCCTACGAATTTACAAGATGGACGATTGCTAACGGGGTCATAGCGACTGGGACCGCATTGCCCCTCCCGCCCAGGGCCAGGTCGTCGACTACGAGGACCTCGCCAACACTGAGTCCGTTCAGTTCCTGAGCAAGCTCGCCGTCCTCAAGCTCAACGGAGGTCTCGGTACCTCTATGGGCTGCGTTGGACCCAAGTCCGTCATTGAGGTCCGTGACGGCATGTCCTTCCTCGACCTGTCTGTCCGCCAGATCGAGTACCTCAACCGCACATACAACGTCAACGTTCCCTTCATCCTGATGAACTCTTTCAACACCAACGATGATACCGCTGCCATCATCAAGAAGTACGAGGGCCACAACGTGGACATTCTCACCTTCAACCAGTCCCGATACCCCAGAATCTACAAGGACTCGCTGCTGCCTGTCCCCAAGTCCTTCAACTCATCCATCACCGAGTGGTACCCCCCTGGACACGGTGACGTTTTCGAGTCGCTGTACAACTCTGGCATTCTTGAAAAGCTGCTGGAGCGTGGCATCGAGATCATCTTCCTGTCCAACGTCGACAACCTGGGTGCCGTTGTTGATCTCCGCATCCTCCAGCACATGGTTGAGACCAAGGCCGAGTACATCATGGAGTTGACCAACAAGACCAAGGCTGACGTCAAGGGTGGTACCATCATTGACTATGAGGGATCCGTCCGCCTGCTGGAAATCGCTCAGGTGCCCAAGGAGCACGTCAACGAGTTCAAGTCCATCAAGAAGTTCAAGTACTTCAACACCAACAACATTTGGCTGAACCTCAACGCCATCAAGCGCGTGGTGGAGAACAACGAGTTGGCTATGGAGATTATCCCCAACGGCAAGACCATCCCTGGTGACAAGAAGGGCGAGTCAGACATTTCCATCCTCCAGCTCGAGACTGCTGTCGGTGCTGCCATCCGCCACTTCAACAACGCCCACGGTGTCAACGTTCCCCGTCGGCGATTCCTGCCCGTCAAGACCTGTTCCGACCTCATGTTGGTCAAGTCTGACCTGTACACCTTGAAGCACGGTCAGCTCCAGATGAGCGCCGCTCGTTTCGGCGATGCTCCTCTGATCAAGCTGGGCAGCGACTTTAAGAAGGTTTCAGACTTCCAGAAGCGCATCCCCTCCATCCCTAAGGTGTTGGAGCTTGACCACCTCACCATCACCGGTGCCGTTAACCTGGGCCGTGGTGTGACACTCAAGGGCACAGTCATTATTGTTGCGACTGAGGGAAGCACCATTGACATTCCTCCCGGGTCGATCCTCGAGAACGTTGTCGTGCAGGGTAGCTTGCGTCTGTTGGAGCACTAAAATGCGTCGTTCATTTTCTTTCACTTTTTACCCCAAAACAAAATACCCAGTGCTCCAGGCTTGGAATTTATCGTCGTATCTATTAGTATTTCCCATTTTTATGTGCTGGCATATCGAGCGAGTTGGGGACTGGCCGGATAATGAACAATCAGCTGGACGGCGGTTGATCAAATAAACAAACAAGCAAATTAACAAAAGAAAAAAAAAATGTAAAGGAAGAACAGATGGATGGAATGACGGATGTGGAGGACATTCATGATTGTACCGATGACAGCGTCGGCATTGTGTAAATACAGCTATTAGGGCCTTGATAATTGATACAATGAGTTGGTATCCCCAGATAGAGCTCCCGTCTCTCGGTGAACTGAGCTTTGCATAACGGTATTTTGATAACAGTAGGATCTCGGCAATGTCAACAATGAAGCGAGATCGCTTATGCAAACGCGGTCGGTATGCTGCAAAATCTGGGGGCTTATGCACAGGCAAAAAGAGTACGGAGACGGCCGCCGCCAGGCATCGAGATTGTCAATCTAGACAGTGCTGTAGATCTTGCGGGTTTTAATGATAGCTCCCTCCACCATAGCTGTGCCAATCTAGATGGAACAAGTCATCTGAACTGCGAGATTTTGGACATGTCTGGCGATCATAATGCTTGGCCAAGATTGTCTGGTGGAATATGATGGAGTACCTATGTACATATGTATAATAGTATGCAGTATGCTAGAGAGAGACAGGCATGGGCGTGGTGACTTTGGTTTAATTTGATTCAAAAAACAAGTAGTACCTAGATTACTCCGCGGTACCAGACAGAATGGAGTTCGTCCCCGGTAGCTGGAGCGGCGGTGGACAAGTCTTGCTGCTGCTACAGCACTACTACTACTACAAAGTATCTATACAAGTAATTTGCTGGTTATCTGTTTGGTATCGTAGGTATCATCCCCGCCTCGCGAAGCGCCTGAAAGTCCCAAATTGATATTACCAGTTGCCTTGTTCTGCAGGCGCCGTGGCGAAAGAACAGCGTTTTGACCAGCAAAGGTGGAGTCCTCGTTAGGGATAGGAGATTGCCTATCGATTGCTTACTCCACACGAAACGTGAGACAAAACAGCGTGTGCAGGGCGAGGGGCCAATGATGAGGCGGTAATTTTGCTTGGCTGATGGCCTTTTGGAGATTGCGGGGATGGATGGGCTTGGAACAGGGTTAGAGCGATACAGGGGGGGCGATGGGTTTGAGGCGAAGAGCTCATCGGGGAAGTGAAGCGGCGCAATAGAGGAAGACAGAGAGAGAGAGTTGAGAGAGAGCAATTGGCAGGATGATGGGAGGTGCAGAAGATGAGGAAACAAGGTAGACCTAGGATATAACAAAAAGGGGGGCGGAGCTGGAGCTGGAGATGAGGCTATTGGAGGATTTTGGCGAGAAAGGGTCGGGGGGTTTTTTTTTTGGTTTGGTTTTGGTTTTGCTTCTGTTTGGTGTGTCCTTGCTAGTTGACTGATGCGATGTGTGATGCGAGTTGGGAGGAATGGACGAGCACAGCCTCGATTGCCTTGGTTGGGAAGAGGGGAAAATGGATGGATGAATACGGAATACGCCGAGGTTTGCATACAATACTACCAGTTGTCCTTGCGCTCTTGAAGCCAAAAGAGGTCGTGTTGGGGAAGCTGGCAAGTGGGAAGCATGAATTATGACGATGCGGATGATGATGGAGTTACGTGTTCGGGGGTGGGCAGCCTGCAGCGGGCTTCGTGTTTGCGCATTCAGAGTTTTGGCTATGTGACTGCGCAGACAGGATCATGCCTGTTTCTCATTCGTCGGGATATAGGAAGAAAGAGAGAGCTCGAGGAGCCGATGACAGCTTTGCTCCCCATTTTAACCTCCACGAGGTGCAGAATGGCTGTGTGGAGAGAGAGAGAATGGGCTGTGCAACGATCAATGCATGCGGGCTGATGCCAAAAACTTTAGGCAGTGATGAGGAAGTTCAAGCTTAACCGGCCTCATTCACAAGTGTGTGTGTGTGTGTGTCGAATGGGCTGCTGCTGCGCTGATCGCGAACGCGGATGGTATAAAGGCGTTTTGGCAATGGAGATTGCCCGTCTGGGTAAGAGCCGAGACCCAGGGGCGACTGATTGGACGTGCGCGGGGGCCACTTTGCAGAGGGGACCGGTTGTTGTTTAGGGGAGAGGCTAATGCTAATGGCGCTGCGATGATGTGTTGAATAGTCTGGTCTGGGAAAGAAGCGCATTTCGGTAGGGACAGGAATAGTGGGATGGAGACATGCAGGTTGGTTTTGCGCTGTGTTCTAGGCCGGGGAGGGCGGTTCGGAGTGGGAACGGGCAGTGAAGAAAAAAACAAAAAGAGACACAGGCTGGTTAGCAGCGGTTTTTTTCCCTTTCCATTATGTTCCTTTTTAATTGCAGTGGAGAGGGGTTCTGTTTTGTGGTGTAACGCGCGGTTGGGGGGGAGTTGGTGTCGTGCCTAGCGAGTTGCCGTAACCAAGACGAAAGATGCCGCCTGAAGAAAAAGGAGAAGAACAAGAAAAGCCATCGAAAAGAAGCTTTCCGTTTGGTGACGATACTGGTGCCCGCTGAGCAAACTCAATGGCGATTAGAATCCCGTATTTGAGCCATTGTGGCGATCGCGCGCTATTGGGTGCAGTGGCCAGCTGGGGGTGGTGCTGCGCTCGCCACGGCTATTGGACGATAGCCTGCATAAGGTGATCATTTTGTTCTTAAATTTTTCATCTTGCCTGGTGTTTGGCTGGTTTTATTACTCGCGGCAGCTCCAGCCTAGTGGCTTGCTGTGCCTGTAAGCGAGGCGCACGTAGGATTGCGGGAATAGGGCGCCTCTTTCTCCCAGCGGGTGTCTGAAGGATGGATGGGTGCATATGCATTGTTTTATTGCGTCGCTTCACTCGGTGCAGGGCTGGCCGGCCGACTCCTCTCTCTCTCTGACTGTGTGTCTGTGTTATGCGCTTTTCCTCTCCCCGTCTTCATTCATTCTGCCTTCTCGTCTCTTGTCCCTTCTCCTCGTCTCTCGCTTGCCGTTAGAGCCGCTGGCATTGGCCCAATGGGACTTGGAATGACGGCAGCAAAGCACCTGTCGGGTGGGCCAAATTTGCTTTGCGTGTCATGCTATGCCTAGTTGATGCCATTTCCCCGGGGTGGACAGCAAAGCTTGGCATCTGCCGTCGCTGCAGAGCGTGTGCCTGGCTCGAACTGATTAGTCGCGGGCCTTGGCTAATAGCGCTTGGGGAGCTATTCGGCCTAGCGCTGGCGGGCTGAAGCTCGACCGCTGGACCAGGGGCCGCGGCCGCTGATAGGCTGGCGGCGGAGCTTGTGCCAGGCCCTAGCGCGCTGTGCCTCGTCCATGCAAACCTCCAGCTTCTGCACCGACATGGCATGAGAGGGCAGAAAGCTTGGCCACAGCGCGCCCCGGGAAATCACCCGGGCGGCGTGCATGCGATCGCTAGACAGGGCCCAGAGCGGTTGAGACCTGGCAGCGCACTGGGCTCTGCTCAAGACTCGGCCCCCTCTAATTCCACCGGCCGGGCCCCCTGTTGCTGGGAATGGAGCTAGGCTATCAATTCCAACGCCCGCTCCACTCCTGACCGATGCTCCTCTGGGCCTCTCCAAGTGCTTTAATTACCCTTTGCCGTCCTGCCTCTGCGGCTCTTCTTCTTGATTCTTGCTTCTGCTATCCCGCGCCTGATCACTCGCTTTGTAGGCCCAGTTTCATTCGTGCAGTAAGTGTTTTTTTGTTTTTTTTTTTGGTGTTCTTGTTTGCCTTGACAAGCCGTGTTACTGCCTTTGCCGTGTTCGCCAAGCCCCCGTCGAGGCGGCATCTTGATCCATTTACACGGATCGTCTGCCTGCGCTCAGCTATGCCCACCCCTAGCCTATCTTGTTCTCTCTGTTTCTATGTTACTCTCGAGCAAAAAAGCCACTCTGCTATGAGGAAAAAACAAAGCCCCTATTCTCTGGGCCTCTCGCTTCGAGACCCCTTGCGGCGGTTGATGCGGCACGGTAGCATGCGAGCTGGCTGTATCAATGGCTGAGAGACGACGGTGGAGAGGCAATAGTTCCAAGGATAGTGGAAAGCACGGTTGTTCTGCGTCTGTCAGAGACCAGCTGGACGCGAGCCTGGCAGCTGTAACGGGCTGGACTATTTTTTCCTGCTCCTATTTTGTTTTGTTTGTCGTTGTTGTTTTCTTATTTCATTTCACATTCCTCTCCGAGCAACCCATTTGCTGCGAGAAACTTGATCTTTCCTCACTACCGACATACCAGTCAACCTTGTGCTTTGCGTCATCAAGGAACCAAGACAACCTGACTAACCCATCTGCTTGCCAGTTAAAACGATTCTTTCCGTCTCTCGTTCAGATCTATTCTTTACTCGTCCTTCTACGCTTTCAAGATGAAGTACTCTGTCGCTGCTGTCTCGGCCCTTGCTGCCACTGCTCTGGCCAAGCCCTCTTTCACCAACGTTTCTTTCCAGGTTGAGGTTGGCCAGCCCTTCACCCTCACCTTCGCCGGCTGCTCTTCTGGCTGCACCATTGAGCTGCAGACTGGTGCTAGCAACAACCTGAAGGACGTCAAGACCCTTGCCAGTGAGTTGATTTTCCGCCATGAACGAAATCTGCGGGCCCACGATGGATGCTGACTGTGATAGCTGGTGTTACCGGTACTTCCGCCACCGTGACTCTGGACAAGATCCCCTCTGGCACCTACAACTTCAAGATCACCGACGCCAGCGGCGAGAGCAACTACAGCGCCCAGTTCCCTGTCCAGGGTGACGTTGCTGCCAGTGCCAGCGCCTCATCCGAGACCAGCGCCAAGGAGACCAACACGGCTACCGAGGCTCCCACTTCTACCGCTGCTTCTTCCTCCGCTGAGAAGTCCACCACTCTCGTCAAGTCGACCACTGCCCACACCACCGCGGCCTCAAACAGCACCACTGCTTCCCCCAGCAGCCACTCTTCCACTGCCAAGCACAACTCCACCAGCGCTGCCATCACAACTGGCCCCGCTACCACCACCTCTGGTACGTATTATATGTTCTCGACGAGACGTGTTTGCCTCGCACAAGCCTCGCTTCCGATTTTGCTAACCAGCTTTGTCTGCCCACAGCCGCTGAGACCACCGCTGCCAAGACTTCCTCAAAACCCGCCGTTACCACTGTCCCTCCCGGAAGCGCCGCTGGCCGTCTTTCTTCTCCCATCGCTCTCGTGGCCGGCGTTGCCCTGGCCATTGCCTTCCTCTCTTAATTTTGTGGATAGCAAAGTCGTTGGGGGGCGGAAAGAGTCCCTCCCAAAATATTTTATTTTGCGCATTAAGGCTTTTTTCTTTGGTTCTCGGTTAAACTTAATATCTTGAGGCAAGATTTTATATGTTGTTTTTTCTTCATACCGCAGGGCAGCTTGTTAGGAAACGGAAGGTTGGCGGGGGGGTTGTAGATGTCCCCAGCTTCTTGTCAACTTTTTTTTTCCCTATTTAATGACGATTATACGGAAAACTACCTAAACTTCTTTTTTTGAGGATAATGTCAGCCCCTGCATGTACTCTAGTGGTAACTAATGCATTATATCCCCTTTTTTCTTCTTTTTACTTGATCTACAATGATATTTTCTTTTACGACGAATGTGAATTATTTTTGCCAATGCATTTGAGTGCCTTGCACGTAGTATGTTATCACGTAGAGAACATCATTACTTTAACACTGAAACCTACAAAACGTAAGACTTGAGACCGGCTGCTCGCTTCCATGGTTTCCTTGGCGGTGAGGTGAAACTAGGCCACACGGGATGACAGCGGCTCGATGCAGGAACCTGCAACATGTTTTGATAAGCCGACGCAAGGGGCCAATTTTTTTTTTTTTTATCCAGTTGCGTTCGGATCGCAAGCCGAGAAACGAGGCTAAAAGACCCCAAGAAAAGCTAACAGACTTTGGTTCGTTCGTGTTTTAGAGCTCGTGTTTGTTCCGATTGAGTTTTTGGGGATACGAGGTGCCATGCGATGCGATCGGTGCGTGGGCCTCCCAAAAAGGGGAGGAGAATAATCGGCATTGACTACATCGTGGATTCCTCGGAGTTTTTTTTTCTTTCTTACCCCCGCCTAGATTTGGGGCTTGGGCCTGTGTCATATCCCTGCAAGGGGGGAACGCTGGGTCGAAGAAATTGCGTTGGCTGGTTTCTGGGCTGATGTCAGGAAATTGGGCCTCAATGGCTGCATTCGAAATTGGATGCTGCAGGTGCCTGATGATTTCTATCGCTGGGAGCAGTTGAAATGGTGGGTTTCACGGGCTCTGTTACACGAGGAAGGATGATGGACGTTGGAGAAATAGTAGAGAGCACAAGCGACGAGATTGTTATGGGCAACTATGTTGATTCGAGTATGCAAGTAGTATAATAGGTACTAAGATGATTGGTGCTAGTACTTCGTTGTGTGACATGTAATCCGTCTCATTCTCTACCTCGTAGGCACTACTAAACTAGCCTGATGCCCAATCTATAGACCTACATGTGTATGGTCCAACCCGAGAAGCAATAAACACCAGGGTTCAAACGGCCTCTCTTGCGCCATATTCTTTTCTTTATTTTATCGATTGTTTTCCTCCAGGTTAACAAAACGGGGAAAAGGGAGAAGGGCCGGACGATGGCCGATGCCGTTGACTAAGCTAAGCATACCAGCGCAGGAATGGAAACAGCGTCTAGAAAAAAAAAAAAAATGCAGGGGAAAGAAAGAAGCTATAAGGAAAGAATCGGTGTGCGATTTGCTGACCGAACTTTCTAATCACCGCTTTTTCATTCTCATCTCTTGTCTTTGTTATCATTCTTGTTCATCTTCTTTCCACGTCTTCGTTTGTTTCAACTTCTTTACTGGAGCTCATAGCGATGAGGCTGTTTCAGAGCATGTCTGTGCCACCGGCATAGCTTCGGTTATTGAAGCTGATATATATTGAGTGACGTCGTATGTAAGTATGCTCGTCTCGTCGTCCGACTCGATGGTTGTCGAGTTGACTATTCTTTGTTCATCTTATTGATATTCTCCTCGGCCCAGGACTCCATATAGGAGACAGCGACAGCGGCACTGGGACCGCTGACTGGGCTGTATGGATCTTTGTATTCTGGTTTGTGGCATGACGCTGTCATGTTCGAGTTGCTCGTCTTGTCCACGTTGGCGTAAGCAGTTGCGAAACGGCTGGCCTTGTGACTATGCGAGGCTGAGTCGCCGCCCAAAGCATTGAGGGCTTCGATGTTTGGTTTGGACAGGCCACTCTGGGCGTGGCCGGTGGTGTTGTTGATGCCAGCCGCATCAACGTTGGTGGCAGTAGTCTGACTGCCAATAGTCTCGGTGCCGGCTTTGCCCTCATACGGGATGAACTCCCAGTCGCTTCCTGGGAGCAAGGGATCCTCGAGAGCATTCATCACGGTCTTGGAAGGATCACGGATGCGTCCAGCCGTGTTCTGAGTGGGAGTTTGTGGGCTTCGAGGACCATTGGATTCCTGAGGCAGAACGACAGACCTTGGGTAGGGAAGCATGGTGGTAATGAGGGAACGATGGATACTTGGGAAGTGTTGAAATGCGTCGGTGTGGGATGAAAGAACGGCGAGTACGCGTGTTGCAAAAAAGGAGCGTGTGGTGTCTGCAGTGAAGAGGTCAGGACGGTGAGAGAGAGGGGAGAGGGGGACGAGGCGGGATTTATACCCTACTTCCTCAGGCGACAACAAAGCTATTGAACGAACCCGAAGCACGAAGAAACCGGCGTGATCGACTTGAATTAGCGCTAAAGAGAAAAAAGTTTGAAGTGGCATGCGATAATTGGCCATGTTGATGGCACGGTTGCGCTGCCCCTGTGGATTTTGAAGCCTCAGAGGAGCAGGGGTGGGAACGACACACGCCCCAGGTACCGATGACATGGCCAACGGCCGAAAGCAACAGGGAACACCTTGTAACGGCTGATCCAAAGAGGCTTTGGCTGGCAAGCCGCGAGGAGCAACCAGGGTAGCTGCAGAGATGGCCGGCGGGCTGCTGCCATGACAAAGAATGCGAGACTGAAGGCTTGCGGGCTTCCGAGCTTGCGCCAAGAATCAGGCAAGTGGTTCAGCGGCTTGAAGGGGTTTTGACAACGCAGGAAACGTTGGAGGGTGGGTAGGGCGGTGCGCCTGTATACTGACGCTTACTCCCCTTACAACCAACAGCCCTGTTCAGTTGGGCGTTCTTTTGCCAGCAAACTCAACCCATACAGGCCCAGCGTCGGCCCGGAGGGCATCTCTAATGGGCTTTCGCAGAGAGTGGCCGCATGACTGTGCGGAATACTCCTGCTCTTCGCAACTATCCTTGTCGGGAGAGAGAAGTCGCTGAAGCTAGCCGTTCTCTTGGCAGTGGCAGAGGCTTGCTTCGCTTCCGGCCAATATTAGGACCTGATGCTGGTTGGAAAGTACTGTGATTGGCCTTTGAGTTATTCTTTGCGCGTGGATACCTCCCCTTTGGCTGCTTATTAGCAGGGCAAGGCTTCACACCTGCAGGTTCCGGATCGATGCCACCTCGGCCTTCTTGCGGAAACCGATAGCCTGCCCTATCGCTAGGCAGCTATGGCATCTATTTCGGTTCCCCTTCCACGAACTGAGGGGATGTTGGAAACGCCCTTGCATGGAAGAATGTGAGATCAAATATGGTGAGCGAATTAGTAGTATTCGCCGACACAAGCTGCTTCGTTGGGGCCGCACCCCCTCAGCCTGCTTCTGCAATATATGCAGCTCTAGCAGTGTGCATGCGTCTATGGCAGTGAGAAAATGTAGCCTCACCTAAATAGGCACCTAGGCTGCAGGGGATGGTGAGGGGAGAGACGCATCAAAGCCGGTACTACTCTCTTCACCTGACCATGTAAACAGTGCACCACCCAAAATAGCCCGACTTGAAGAATCGGTGATGATCATGTAGGATTGCACTCAGCTGGTCAGGGCTCGCTGGCTCACCGCAGTTTAGGAGTTCGTTGCCGCTACCGACATGCAGTGTGTGTAACATGAGCAAAAAGCCGGGCTCCCTTCTTATGCACCAAGCCTTGCTTCCTGACTATTGCTAATGCAGTCGTGGCTTGTGTTTCTATTTTCAATCTCCAATTGAAAGTTATAGCTGCGATTTGCATTTCCATCTAGCATATCAATTTGTCATGATCAAACACTCGGGTTCTATTTTAGAGTGAACATACATGCAAGCGCTTGTTCGTTTCAGCTGATGGACATCCTTGCAAGGGTGGCCAAAGATCAACAATGACAACTTTGGGGTCAACCACTGGCACCAGTCCATTGGACCACAACCCTTCTCCGTCGCTTCTCCTCATGCATCAAACCTAGATGGCGTTCTTCCCGCTTGGCTAAGCTAAGCTGGTATTCGTGGTTCGAGATCCTGTGTTCACCAGTCGGCACATTGGCCGAGGCAGTCAATCCCGCGGGCGTAATCTCGTTCCTGGCCCATTATTCCACAAGTCTCGAACGATCCAGCCCTTCACTCTGCTTGACAGGCTCCGACAGCCACAATAAATGAATGCATGAGCTGGCAAACACTTTTTTATTGGTAAGCATATTCGAATCTGCGACAACAGGGGCGGCGGTCGAGCGCCATTCCTTTGGAATTCTAGAATTCTAAGGCGATGCGAGAGGCTACTTGACTAATGCCTGCATGATGCCAGAAGGAATAGATGAATAGTCGTACGCGGCCGGTGGCTATCCATGACGATGGAGCGCGAACGCCTCGCTATTGTAGTACAGGCCAATAGGCCTGGCTCATGATCGCCCGCCCACTTTTGGCAGGTGGTCGAATACGGCAAGGATGGAGGCCGCTGACCAGCGAAGAGAAATTCTTCGAGAATGATTTATTTCCTTCTAGCGCGCCACGAACTGCTCGGGCGAATAGAACACGGCGATTTACACAAGCATCCCTGGTTGAGAGCCTCTGTTTTTCACCGCTTGCCTGTCCAGAGCAGATTATCCTGCAATGGTGGGGGTGCTTCGAGAAGGGAGATTGACTTTTTTAAAGTTTGGAGCAGCTTCGACTACGAAAAAGGTGTGAGCTGGGCGCGAGCACTGTTTAAATAGCTTGCGTTGAGCTTGAACACAGAGGGAACACACAGCCCATTAATTACACTTCAAAGAGGGATCATACAAAGAATTAACGACCAACTATCTCATAAGATCCGCGCATACGCAAGATAAGCCTGGCCTTTGTGTCACACACAGCCGTCTTACGGCGACGGCCAACCCTTTGTGTGGTGGCCTCATTAGCGGCCTATATTTCTTTTACGTGAAAAAAAAAATATCTAATCAAGGGTTTGGTAACATTGCTTCGGCTTGCCTGAGAGTGAAAGATGTACATACGAGTGCTTTCTTCTCCTTTTCATACTTTGGTCTCTCTATCTGTCCGTCCGCTTTCGGCTAGCCACTAGGCTCGAACCAATTTTGTGTTATTTACCCAGTACGCCTTGCAGCTTGCTTACGTATTCCTATTCGCACATGCGTACGCGTGTGCCTGTCCCTTGCTTTAAATTGCCTTGGATTGTGTCTCGGGTGCTCATGACTCAGTTGTCCAAAGCGGCCAGAGCTTGGTCCAGCGTCTTGCCTGTTAGTCTATTGTTTTGCCAATTGGTGGTCAGCATTTGGCTTCATGTTACCCCGTAGGTAGGTGAGTTATCACAAGAGCTGCACGGGAGTGGAACCTACTTCTCAAACACGTCCTGGTACTTCGCTGCAGTCTCTTTGACAACGGCTTCGGGAAGCTCGACCTAGGACGTGGAGCACAAACAGATTAGTCATATGTCGGTGCAAGAGAGTGCGGGTCAAGACATGGAGTTTTCGGTTCGGCATTGCCATTGGGATGTTTCACTCGTTGCGGGGAGTAGTAGGGCCTGGTGAATTAGATGACCTTGGAGGGGGCGTGTGACTTACATCAGGCTTGCCCTTGAGGCCATTGCTGGTGAGATAGTCCCGAACATACTGCTTGTCGTATGACGGGGCTTCGACGCCGGCTTTCCACTCGGCGGCATTCCAGAATCTTGAGCTGTCACTAATGAGGAGAGTCAGTATACGTCTAGGACTCTTCGATAATTACAATAGGACTTGGCGCGGCCCGTGGAAGGATTCTTTGGCTAGGATTGACGTACGGGGTCAAAACTTCATCAACCTGCGCTGCGTTAGTCTTATTTTCATGACTATCTTTTGGGAGATACCAAGAGTGGCCGCTCCTAAAAGTGGGGGAGGCGCCTTACCAGGACGACCTCATCGGTTGCCTCGTCAAGGGCGAACTCGCTAAGGACATTGTTAGCTTATCAAGGACGAACGCCGAGATGTGATTCAGCACGTGAGGGACATCACATCTCCAGGGATTCCGAGCCATGTAGCAATACTACTTGCTAGGAGCGCCCGCAATTGGAGGATCCGTGCGTGCATGAGGAAGAGAGGCTAGGAGAGTGGCAAGGAACAACTCACAACTTGGTATCGGCCACAATGATGCCGCGTTCACGGGCATAGGCGGCGGCGGCGCTGTACACCGACAGACTCAGCTCTGCGATGCGAGCCGCGTACTTCTCGCCGACGATCTTGACGGCCTGCTCGGGGGAGATGTTCTCGTCCTTCTCTCCGGCGGGGGCCTTGGTGGAAGGAGTGTACTGCTGGGGTATTAGCTTGTGGGATTTTTTTTTTGTGTTCAGCCTCGTATTAAAGTGAAGCGCCCTTGTTATGGCGTTGGTGGCGTTGAGTAGTGTGACATGGCATGGCAGATATGAAAGCTATGTGATTTGTGATACTCATAGATTAAGAGTAACAAGGGCAAGGGGGATTTCATTGGGTGTGGTTGCACGGAAACTTACGATAGGTCCGTTCGGGAACGCGCCGCATTTCTCTAGCCCAGCAGGCTGGGGGATACCATGGACGGTGCCGTGGGCAACGCTGGAAGCCGGGGATGTCAGCTCGTCTCTTCTTCTTCTCTTGGTTGGGTCACATCGGGAGATGGCTGATTGCCGAACTTTGCGATCCTCGTACAAGCTGCCAAGATGATAGGGGGGCGACGCTGGGTGTGGGATGGCCATCAACTTACTACTCGCTCCATGCGCTGCCGGTGATGTAGCCTCTCACAATAGCTTCCTAATGGAGCGATATCAGAATCTTAGCCACTCTTGCACGGCCTGCAGAGTTGAGAAGGCTCAAGAAGCAATTTGACTGAACTCACAATGGGAAACACCTTCAGCTTGCGGCAGGTCATGGTTCGCCCACGCAGCAGGCTGCGTTCCTCGGGCGTCAAGGGAGCTGAGGCCGGGGCCGACAGGGATAGCAGGTGGTGTTTCAGGCCGGGCACCTTCTGCTCGAGCACGGAGAACCAATGGGCCGAGATCTGGGTGAGGATGAGGCCCTTCTGGGGCACGCCATTGGCGAGGACGACATCGTAGGCCGAGATGCGGTCGGTGGCCGTGAAGAGGAGTGTGTTGGCGTCGAGGTCGAAGAGGTCGCGGACCTTGCCCTGGGAGAGCTTGGGGAGGGATTGGAGGGAGATGGAGGTGATTGCTTCGGACGATGACATTTTGTCTGTTTGTCTGTTCGTTTTATCCTTGGAATTTTTGTTATTGGATATTGTATATTCCACGGGAGGAGAGTACAGTACGGTGGTGAGTGAGTGGATAAGTGAGCTGAGGTTGAGTGACTAAGAGTGTAAGTGGTGATGAAATTTTGCGACATGTGGGGTCTTTTGGCGATCAACTAGTCGCCGATTGTGGCGTTGAATCAGAGTGTCCGCACGTGGAGGAAACTCCACGCGATGGCTACAGCATGGCCGAGTTTTCTTTTGCTTGTTGAACTCGGTTCTTTGTGGCTCCGATCCTGTATCTGCAGAAAGCAAAAGATGGAAGCCGCACTGATTTTGCGCATTGGACAGCATCTTGCTGGTCCGAGACAGATGACAACAAGCTCTTGCTGGAGCTCTGCGTCATGCTGGAACCAGCGGAGCTTGGGCCGGCCGTGGGGATTCCGTTTCGGCATCCCCACATCAGCGCCGTTGAGCTCTCGTTCGCTACCTACGTAGGTAAGCTGACATGTTGACTGAGACGTCAATCACAGAAACTCGCAAACTCTGCGCCAACTGCCTAGAAGAAATTTGAGGGTGGATGCTAAGATAAATAGACAGTGCAGTGGTGTGCTTCCACAGATTGGGACAGTAGTCTGCGTAGCTACCGATGATCAGGTCGTCGGCAGCCAATACGGAACGTGTATTGACGCCCGTTTATTTCTTGACCAATGATACAGAACATATGTAGTCAGAAGTGCCATAACATATAATTTTACCTGCTGAGGATTATGGAAGAAATAGCTGCTGAGACACGTTTGCCAAGCCAAAGAATTACAGTCTTAACGACTGGTAAATAGTAAGGCTGGATGAATGCAGGATATTAATAAAAGGCGAGGTAATGGAACTAAAATACGGCAAGAGTTAGACGAGAATTGCATTCTTATACATTTATATGCCGAACCAGAAATACATGAGCCATGCGATGGGTGATTTAACATTCCCACAATATATCTTTTGTGTCTCTCATCCCAAACGAAAAGTCGTGCCACCCATAGCCGCCTGGATAAACAATATCTGCATAATCGACTAAGAAACTATTCATCCAGTTTTTTGCCAGTGAAGAAGAACTAAATGAGAAACCAACATGATATATGAAATCGGCCACTTTCTCTACAGCCGATGGCTCGTTTTCACCCGCATCGATAAACTCATAAACGAGTGTGGTGTATTCCAAGTCATCTTCCATATACCTCCTCCTCCTTATCTTGCCAAATTTAACCCATGGGGCTTGTAAACTAGGGGGTAGATTGCTCCACGTTTTGCTGTGCAATTTCAGCCAGCCGTAACATTCTATCCTGCGTGGTACTGAGGATAAGCGGCGCATGAGCTTAGATTGGCCTTTCTTTGAAATGCCATGGTCGCGTCTGGACTCGCTTTTCTCTTTACAGAAAGAGTAATAGTTTTTTTTTTTTTTTTTTGGCCTCTTCTTTTCCTTGGGGCTCGTCAAGCACAGAAACCGGATAAGAAGCTATTGAGGCGCGGCACCATCTGAAGGACAGCGTTGTTTTGGCACTCTTCGCTGCAAGGCGTAATAGTGTCCCTCTGATTGAGGCGGAGCTTGATCCCAGAACTAAATTGATATTATATAGTGAGTGAGCAGACCAGGTAGCTAAGCTAGTTTAATGCTCACCATCTTTAGTGCGTATGGGGCCTTCTGTGCCAAATCGAACTTTCCAGACGCAGCCGTCGATTCCATATCCCAGTAGAGACTCAAAGATAATGTCATCGGGATTGAAAATACAGTGTCGGAGACGCGGTTCTCGGGAGTATTCTTTCGTATATTGAGGGGGCCCCCGTCATCGGCTGCTCATTGAGGAATGGCTTTGATATTTTGTGTTTGCGACGACGTTTGCTAAGGACTCTATAGACATTTTTTTCTCTCTCTGTCAACAGTACTGCGTTAGACTGTGGATGTAAGGAAAGAAGACAATATATTCAATGAAAGTTAGCGACGTGAGCAAAGTTCTATATAAAAGAATGCTGGATACCTAGGTAGTGCTTCGTGCTTCATTGTAGTTGTTGATGTGTCTCCACCATTACGTCGATAACTTTAACATCTGCTGTCTTGGCTCTGTACATTGTGGTACCTGCTCACTAACACCTCAAACTGTTTTCAGAACCTCACGCCAACACACTTACGAGACAGCACTAGAGACATTGCTGGTAACTGTGCCTTGATAAATGCTGATGAACTTACTGAGCGAATGGCGAGCTTAAGAAAGAACTTCTTGCAGCTTGATAGGGCCAGCCCATGTATAAGTATCTATCAGATACTGCTTATTTATTGCAAGCCTTCTTTATTAAACTCTTACCACTCTCTTTGTAAGGAGTAAGGCTCAATGGATAGCCACTACAGAAATCCAGTCGTGCTTCTCTCGGCCAAGCATACTTGGGCGTGCTAGTAGTTGAAGCTAAAGCCGCTAGAGAACCTCACAATCATCTTTAGCTCATATCTTCTATATGGAGGAGAAAATGCCATTTGTATGGTGAATGTACGAAGTACATAGTACCTCATGCTCTTAGTTAATGCGCCGGCTACGGTAGTAATTAAATTACATTAATGACCGGCAGCACTTGACCCTCTCGGTTCGCCGACTAGCGATGCAGGTGTATTATTAAAGTGCTCCGAAGCCCATGTAGCTCGTTTCTGAAGCAGTTTGGAGCTAGCAATTGATGTACCTGCGGACTTTCAGCTGCGGAACTGATCGAGGAGACCCGGCGATATTGTTGCGATACATGTAGAAACAAGCGGAGTTTTAGGGCCACTTATATGCGAAAACTGATTTGCAATCATGTGGAGCAAACTTAATCCGATCTCATTTACAAGGGCGGAATCCTACGACGGAGATCATTTGCGTAGCCAATAGCAGGGCATTCGTTATTACCTATTTGTTGCTAGTGCATGAGTGTGGTCTTTAGGATGCTTTTGTCTTTGCAGCCCAGAGTCTTGTGGGTGGCAAGCCATATAATTACGGCGCTGGTTGGCAATAGTTGCATATCTCATACGTCAACTCTACTTTTCCTGGATCGTACAACAAAACCCTCTGTCGCAGCTCATAAAAAGCAATGCATCCGCTCTATCAATTCATCGTCTATAAATCTGATCTCATTGCATTTAGTTAAAGCACTTCGTTCTTGTTTTGACTTGGCTGGACTCTCATTCCCCTCCCCTCTAGTTCCATGGGTCAACCACATATTCCTCCGACGCCCAGTGAGGCCAATCTCAGCGGCAAGACCGTCATTATAACGGGCGGCAATGCTGGTTTGGGGTATGAATCAGCAAAGCAGTTCCTTACGCTGGGTGCAGATCGTGTCATTCTTGCTTGTCGCTCTATTCCCAAGGGTGAGGAAGCTGCTGCCTCTCTTCGTGCAGATCCTGCTGTCAAGAAGTCGAATCCCAACGCCTCAATCAAAGTATTTGAGCTCGACCTTGATGATTACCAATCCGGGCTTCGTTTTGCCAATAAGGTGAAAGATGAGGTCAAAGAGCTCGATATCCTTCTAAACAATGGCGGGCAAGTTGCTTTGGGCTACGAGAAAAGCAAAAGCAACCACGAGCAAAATATGCAAGGTAAAGAAAAGAAGAGCCATGATCAAGCATTGCCAGCGAGTACTAACTGATCTATTCGCGATTTAAGTAAATTGCTACACTCACCTCCTCATCTCCCTTGAGTTATTTCCGCTCCTACGCTCTACTGCTGCGATCAGGGGGTTACCGACACGCATTACATTCACGGGTTCTGCAACTCAGATTAAGCAAAATACTTTGTCCAAGAAACCTATCTCACCTGGCAGCACGATTCTCGGCCATTTTGACGACGAATCCAACTTCAACAAATACTTTCGATACGCTGATACCAAAACTGTTGTCAACGCTTACGTCCGGCGTTTGGCTGCCTTGGCGCCCTCCGAAGTCATTGCCAACAACCCCTGCCCTGGGCTTGTGCAAACGGGCATAGACAAGAACCTGCCTTTCTATCTTAGAGCTCCCATGGCACTTATCCGTAGGTCTACGGGCCGTACGGTAGAGGAAGGTGCTCGGACACTGATCTATGCCTCTGTCGTTGCGGGACCAGATACCAATGGCAAATTTCTGCAGCATAACAAGGTCGATCCGTGAGTGTGATAAGAGACTTTTTTACTGGTTGTTTGAGTGTTTGCTGACTATAAACGACAGAGGTGCTGCCTTTCTTAATGGACCTGAAGGAGAAGAATTTGTTAATAAACTCTGGAAAGAGAGTGTGCAAGACATTGCCGCTATAGATCCCAGTCTGAGTTCTTATGCTTAAAGTAGGTAGCTAAAACCCGGATGATGTGTGTTACGAGATTAAAATATGTTTTGGATCAAGGAAAGGGTATGTATGACAAGGAGGGAAAGGGTGGGGTTGGGTCCCAGCTCGCTTCATTAATCGAACAAGGTTTATGAACTCTAGGTCTACGGGCTATACTTACCATATATTTCTGCAGTGAACCCGTGAGGGGATGAGAGAACTGGGATTTTACTGCAAACTTAAGGTAGATCTTTATCTAGCCAATCTTAATTGTGATTTTCCTCGTCTTCTAGCCCTTCTCGGCGATCTTTGCCAGCTGATAGGCAAACACGACCTCCCGGCCACGGATCTTGCTAGCTGAGCATTGCTACCCCTCCCCACCTTGATCTTTCTACCTACTGAAACAGAATCGTCCGGGGATATAGTTGACGAGGCTTCCACGCCACCGCCGTGGTGCTTACCTTCTTCAATCTAGAGTAAGACCCCTTTCGTCACGTATTGTATCCCCGTGATCATATACAACCGTTTCTCACTCAGTATGCCCTGCAGTATCTGCTCCTCCACCACGCGCTTGTGAATCTACTCTGCATGGCCATCCTTGAACGTCTTCGTCTTCATTTCAAAGAAAGCTGTCATAGAAGAGGTTATTAAGACTGCAGCAAGGAATGAGAACACAGTAAAGAAATAATGGCAACGCTCCTTGGCCAGAGGAGGTGAAATTATTACTACAGTCCACAACGAAGATAAAGTTCCACGCCGATGACTCAACAATGCTATAGCTAAACTTAGCCATACGGTTGCAAAGATGCGAAAACCAACTTTAAGTTGCACGTATATAATCCCTTGACAGTTCCTTGGAAGGCATATGAGTGGCTCGATATATATATTATGTACTGTAAATTTTCTCAATTTGTCGCTTGATTCTTTAAAAATTCGCTCCGCCACATTGAATTGACCGGGCATTATGGAACCAGTAAGCTGAGAAATCAGCTTTCCTTGGCTCGTACCACTGGCGGATATCTGCTAGGCCTGAAGGGAATATTGTTTGTGATCGGAAGTTGCCAACATCGTCTTGGCAGTCACCAGGCTTTACTGTGAATGTGCAGACAACGTCTTTGGGGGGGAACGAAGTCAGCAATATGTAGAGTAGTTGACTCAATGAGGCACTTACTATCGGGCAACCAGATAGATCCAATGGTATCCCAGTTAATTGCATGGCATTCATTTACAGAGTTGTAAGTGATGCTTTGGTTTGGACCGGTATAATTTCTTTAATAGTTTAGCAGTTGCTTTACGGAATCCCTAGCATACGTGGGCCAAACTTACGGGCCGGCCCAGATCCAAATAGTGTTGGGCGCACGACGAGCAAGCTATAATGATTAATTAGCAATGGATAATAATGAGTAATTTAATACGCTGAAACACGAACCTCTGGGATGGGGGGCTCAGCCTGGCCTGTGGGAGAGCTGCTGCCAATCTGAGCAAGAGCAGAGATAGAGAGCAACACGGCGTTCTTGATGCTAACCATGATTATATATGGTGTATTACCTAATTAAGTGTTGATGTTGAAGAATGTGAGGATTAGAAAGAGTGATTTCTGGAACTGGCAGATGGTCGCTGGCTTATATAGGCTTACTTGGGGTGGAGATCAAGCACATGTATTAGAATACAAGTGGTTCCATACGTTTTCTTCTTTTTGATGTAATTTTGGGATATTCCTCGAGAGGCTATTATTACAAATGTTTAGTTAAAGTCCTATCCAGGGGGCAACATGCTCATACTGGTTCACTTTTTGCACTGCCAGGAGCGGTGAGAATACTTCCACCAATCTTAATCTTAGCAGGCGATACAAAAGGTCAAACTAGGGCGGTAATATTAAAGCAATTGCATACGTAGCCGAAAGAAAGGTCTCACGTCAGAATCAAAATCTCAAAATATATAGAGACAAGTTCAACCTATGCTAATTTCGGCTGAGCAAGAGCGATCCAATTGAGCGTGATGTAACCTACTCCGTAGGTTCTTGAACCATAAGGCGGCAGTGAGCGCTAAAACATGATTCGCTAGCCAGGCACCAAAGACTTGTGGGAGAGCTGAGCTAAAAATAAGCCTAAACAAGTGCCTAGGAGTCAGCAAGGAAGGCCGTTGGATACGAATAGTATACGAATGGCTCTTTTCGGCTGTGTGTTATAAACATTTCGTAAAAGCCCCAGTGATACAAGAACCCATCTCACTCTCTGAGCAAGCGCTATACGTACATGGTATGGCAAAAATAGATAACGAAGCTATAGCACTATTTGCAAAGGACTATACCATGTGTGTATATAGTGTATTGCGAAGTTCCGCGCGTGTTCAAGCGAACTAATCGTTATTATGTGGCAAACAATTTGAGTCAGTCAACTTCGTAGAGTTACTACAGTGACAACTCTTGCTTGTGGACTCGCTCTAGATACGTGAATATGTGATCAAGTTGGCAACTTCGGGCATAATAGCGGAGTCTCTCTCTACTAGCTAACTGAAAGAGGTGCCGGCTAGTGGATATGAAAGCGTGTTGAGAATAGCGTCGGTAATGGGACGGCTTATCCAACACTACCTAATATACATACTCCTTTAAAATTCAATGCTTCGTAATAAAGTAGTGTGATACAATGCGTGGATTACTGGGACCAAGCGCATACTTTAAAAGAATGAGGAAGTGGAACAAGATGTCCGCACGCATTCTGACAGACAATAGAATGCACTTGGAGAAGATAGCATCGGCCGTCGTCAGGTCTCTGGCGTTCAGCTCACTAAATATGCTTGTTAGCGTTCATACTCCGTTGTAGAGACTGAATCCGACTTCGCCGTCTCCGATGGTGGCATCAAGCAGACGGCCGATGAGGTCCTTGGCGTAAGCACAGAGCCCCAGTTGGAGGGCTTCGTATTTTTGCCTCCTTTTGCTTTTTCAACTCCCAATATAGTTTGGAAATAACAGAGGATAGAAAAGGTGCCTTTCGCAAGACTATCAATCCTACGTTTAGCGCCTTCTTTATTAAGTCGCCTAATGAGGAACTTGCTGCACCATTCGCTCAGTAACTCACTTGGCCAATCTTTCAACAAAGGCGATCTTCGCATTCCAATATGGCCGACATCTCAGCCCTATTGACTGCTATTCGACCGACCATGTCATAATACCCCTGGTATGAACACTACGGAGGCTGCTGTCTCGGTAAGGATGGTGGCACCCGAACACGGGCCCATGCTTCTTTAGCAACTTCCATACATTGACAATACGCTGAGGTTTGCTTATCAATATTGTTAGCTTGCAAGTTTCCCGTCAAATCGAATTAAGAACGCTTGCAATAGCAGTGCTGGCCAGGCTATGAAAACCATTGTGTTTATGCTTCAGTAACAAGCTTTATAATTTCATTACTTTGGAAGCAAATGTTGCCCAGCTGTTGATCACCCTGATGCGCCTCATTCTTGTAAAGCTTCGGGGGGAAGTTTTGTAGTAATAGCTTACTAAAGCCCTCATCAGAACGCTCGGGTTATTGTGCTCCGTGAAGGCTCGAAGTCTTTATAACCGTTCACATATACTTACGTGTCTATGAGCCCGCTTTCCTTTTCTTTTTCCAAAATTTAATTGTAAAAATAGATGGAAGAAAAGGTTTAAATAGTTTTGACTGTACACAGCGACCGTAGACAGGTGGATAATATTTTTAAGGCAACGAGACGCGTTTTCTATCCGCGAAAGGGGCAAGTCGAGTTGTTGAACCTGAGTATAAATTAAGCGCATCATCACACTCTTTCTCGGTAACTGTTGAGCAGATCATTGCAAATATTTCACGGAAGTTAGCCGAGTATTTCACAAGAGACAGAGGCGATTTACACGCCAGGGTCCCCTACGTTGACAGGCGCCAAGGTTGAGTGCCATCATTGGAGGCGCTGCACGAGGTTTGTAGGTTAAACATTTATCCATAATGCTCGAGCGATTGAAGAATAGGCGCCGCCGCCTAAACTCGCAATGTATTGGACGTCGTGCGCGCATTGGCAACCAGTCGTCGCGGTTCATTGGGCACAAATAGCGAATTACGGTTGGTGAGATATATGATGTGGTATTGTCTCTACCCTTGCCCTTATCAGGCGGCTGTTGGTACGATTTCTCACCTCACTAGGAATTCAATAGTTAGTTGAGTGCAGGCATGTGCCGTATTTCCTAGCCTTCAACTGCTATCTAGCAGTCTTCTTTATGTAACCGAAGCGAGTTGCTAATGCGAAGCTTACCGTAAAAGGTGAGACGGCATATTAGAAACTCAAATAATCCAACCCAAGCTGTGCATAGCGCCACATACTAATTTCAACTATTGGATTTTTATCTCAGCTTGGAGATGGCTATTCTCTCCATATAAACCCTCTTCCGCGGGGTAGATCTTCATTGCCTATCTAGTTTTTGTCAATGTCCATACCATGTATTAAAACACCGTACTCTCTCTTCGCGAGTTAACAACGGGCTAACGCAGGAAAGAAATTTAGTTGTCAATTGCGCAGGTCTGTATTAGAGAGCCGTGAAATCGCTAAGCCGTCTAAGCCGCGTCATATTTGCCATGTTATATATCGTTCTGCAAGCTTAGCCTGTGTGTAGCTATTTCTAACGCTTTGGTGGGTAGTAGATGTCTATTTGTATTTCGTCACAGCCTCCCTTGACTGAGAGGAGAGTATCATAAGGCAGGGAGTGTAATAGCCTGAATGGCCCAGGTTGAGCAGAGTTGGCGCTGCCCAGCTTATGTTGTGTCCTAAATATATCCTAGCTTCTGGCTTTCCTAGGTGTTTTCAGCTTTATAACCCTGCGTCCGCCCCCGCCTGCTGACTTGCAATTGGCGCTCATGCAATCCTGCAGAATCCTTCGGGTTTCAATTCCAGGGACCTTGCCGCTTCACCGTTGAATGATGAGGCTGATGACAGTGAAAAGGGCGTGAGCTAATCTGCCTCGCGTTCGCAGTAAAATTAATTTTTACCCACCTGAGCGTGACGTCCTATCCTGAACTCAAAAGTTCTTCCTCCGCCTGCCAACCACAAGCTTCATCTGTGATGAGCACGACACTCCATCATGATATTGGGGGGCTGGAGGTGGTGCCGGGATCTGATCTTAATGCCGAAGGGCTAGAGGCAGTACATAACCCTGATCATGACGGGTTAGAGGCGTCAACCAAAGTTCAGACTGCATACGGGCTGGAGGTCGTGGACAAGGACAGCTCGTCCAACATGGACAACGTCGAGGGCGGTAAACAACACAACCCGAAAAGAAAGAGACTATGGCTCATCGTGGCCGCAGTAGTCCTCGTGCTGGTGATCGTGGGAGCCGTGGTGGGCGGCGTTGTTGGATCGCAAAATAGTCATAAAACTCTCGCAACACCAAGCTCTTCTTCAACTCCGTCTTCAAGCACGAGTGCGCCATCTTCTTCAGCTACAGCTAGTTCTGTTTACGCCAGTTCGGGTATTGGTGTAACGGGCTGGTGGACATCCCAATCAGACTTCAGTATTCGCCTGGCCTACCAGGGACCGGATAGCTATCTACACATGATGCAGTACAATTCGGGCGATGACGGCTGGTCGGCGATGACTATCCTGACAAATTTAGATATCAAAAAGGGCAGTCCAATTGCGATATCTTGCTTCAACAGTTCTATATTCTTTGATGCAGCAGTGAACAGTGCTAGTGTGAGGAACACTTCCAACCCTTTCCCCAGCAGACATGACGTATCTAACAGGCATCGATGTAGAACTTCACACAGATCGAAATTTTTTACGTCAATGACAGGGACGATATCGCAGAGTGGTGGATCCGAGAGCAACAAGTACCCGAACAACAAACCTTGAACGGGAATGGTTCTATGTCCCCCAACGCCTGGAAAGCAGGAGTGGGCTCAAGGTTCACGTCATACTGGCCAAGTGTTGTCATTCAGGATGACTCAAACCAGGTACAAGAACTATACTATAACGGCAGTTGGTCACAGAACAACTTGGGCCTTGCATGCCAGAACCACTCAGCGTTTGCGGAAATTCCTGTTTCCGTAAAGGGAGGATTAATAGGGGCTGAGAATTTTATTTATCAACGGGATGATCAGAAGCTGTTCATCGAGGGGAGGAAGCAGTCCAAGGACAGCGTGAGCAGTGGTAAGTTGAGAACGTCTTCTTTAATACTGTTGAGCTTTCAGAATCTCACACTTGGATAAAGTAAATCTACCCGCCATCACGATGCCAGCCGAAACAGCCATTGGAGCGTTTTCTATTCCACGCTCTGCGGACTCGACTAATACCGCGATGAATAATTATATCTTATGGCAAAACGCCACGGGTGCTATCCAGATGACTTGGGAGGATGACAACACCGGATGGCGAACCTCGTCGACACCAGAATCCCTTGGCACTCCTGACAGTGGCACAGGGATAACTTGCCTCACACCAACAGTCTGGGCCGTAGGTTCTTTACAGCCAGGATACAGCATGGCTCGCTGTTACTATTTGATCGATGGACGGATAAGAGAGATACAATACGATGGCTCAAATTGGTCTGTGGTTGGTAATGTTATTTGAGTTGATATCTTAAGGGATCGTATGCGAAAGATTTGATAATACCATTATTAGGATTAACTATATATACATGTAATAAGGCTTCAGCTGGACGGTTTTGGAAATCGCAGATCCCGGCGGCACACTTATCTTATTTAATTAGAACTATATCACCTTTTATATGTAACTTGTAACCTATAAATACATTTGATTGAAGCTGATATGCCTTCTTCCAATTTTTTTTTTCTCAGAACCTGCCGCTTCTTTACGGCTGCTTCCTTTGCCTAGTGCCTAACCAAAGTAGCGAGAAATGGTGGTCATGTACTTTTGAAGGCTCTAGGTTCAATTTCTAGTTATGTTACATCCTAATTACTATTGTTTAACCAACTATAAGCAGCCGGAAATCGCGTCGTGTGTTTGAGTGCCGAACCCTTGAGTTATATGGAACGCTGCTGAATTTCCATTCATCGCCATAATTTTCTCTCGACTTGTCGCGGAATGATATTGTTGTTTCAATTGAGGCCTGTAGTTTCCTGTCTTACGGTAGTCCTTGCGTGTGGGCCAGTAAATGCTTGTATGTTCGTATCAGAATCGAGTGAGACCCCTACTCAAGCGTACCATTCATTATTTTGGCCTCTCAGCTTTCTCTCACATAAGCAGCCTCTTTTTCCCCTTCTTAAGGATGCTTGTCGTCGACAACTCGTTTATTTTCAGCCCACGATCGAATAGCATCAAAATTTTTGCATACATGCACTGCTCCAGTTCCATCTGTACCATTCAAGGGGCTGTTGGGAATGTGTCCCTCCAGAGTTGTATCTCCACAACAGGTTACAGATTGCCGCAAATATCGAAAGCAGTGCTGAACATGCTCTTGGGCACCCGAGTGGATGTCGGATTTTTCGGGGTCCGTTCGATATTCAGAGGTAGGATCAAGAAGGTTGTTATACATATCCATGACGATATACTAGATATCCTTGTGAGAAAGACTATGAATGCCATACTAGGAACAGATTAAATACCAAGCAATGTAACTGGTGGAAAACAGCGATCGAGTAGGTGAAGTTCCCTTGATACAAAATGGGCTCTGGTAGATTATAGTTCTCGAAATCATTCACAGCTAAAAATCCGTTTCCTTCTATAAGTTTACATGTATTAGATCTTGAACTTTTCACACGTGATTTATCAAAAATATATGACTTACTTGGCATATATGTGAGCCAGTTTTCCCGAGTGTCATTCCTGTCCTCTTTGCTCAGACTTTTTACTGTCGCTGGCGCATCTTTTTCAAAAAGGACCTGGTGAATTGGAACTATGTTTACTATTAGTAACTTTTTATGAATAATAGACGTAGTTGACTAACATTTGGGGATCAAATGGTTCATTTCGCTACCTATTTGCGGCTGGCTCTGTGAGCGCAGCTGTAGGAGGATAGTCACTGACGCTATCAATTCAATAACACCGATAGCGCTCAAAATGATCGAAAAGGTCCAAAAGAGGCTCTTTCTTTGAACTTGATCCTTTCTTGATTTCAATTCATGGTCGATTAGAAATTCGTTAGACCCGCGAGAGGTCTCGTCCTCGGTGAAACTGTCCTGCATTCCTGCAGCGGACTCGACTTTTTTGAAGCTGGTTGGCATGCTTGAGGCGATGTATAGGGCTGGTGCAGATTTTTTTTTTTTTTTTTCGGAGAAGGAAATTGGTTAGGTGTAGATTAAATACCATATAATTTAAGCATAGTGAGCGATTCCGATACTACAACGGCCGCGAATGCAGCGAATTAAAGCCATAAGTAACAAAGATGCCCAGCTATCGAAGCTCCTTTGGTTGCTCTACTGACTAGGCCTAGGTAAGATGCGGATTAATGTGGACCATGTGTGTTGGTTCAGCTAAACTTAGTTTTATTGAAATGACTGTATCCAACTTATTGTCATTGGTGTAAGGGCGTTAGACTCTTTATTGAATTAGCTCTGCTGGCTTGTATTGAGCATGGGCCAATATTCAACAAAGGGCTGTTAACCTGCTCAGCCGGAAACGTACTTTAGTAAACACAATTCGTTGAGAGGTAAGCTGCACTTATGTCCTTCCAATCCACGTAGGGGGTGAGTAGCGCCAGAACTAGTTTCAGGTTCACAACTTAAAACCTTCAGAGCTATAGCTATCTGACTAAACGTGTGTCCTTTTGGGGCCACCTTTGTCACGGAAGAACGTAACCTCCATCAATGAGGAGATCGCTTCCTGTCATATAAGTCGACGCATCGCTAGCAAGATACAAGTATAAGCCCTTGATCTCCTTGACATGACCTTGCCTACCCATCGTTGACATCCGATAAGCCTCGTTGATAGCCAGAGGGTTCGCGCCCATTTTTGTATCGAAGAATCCAGGTGACACTATATTGACTCTTGCAAACTCTTGCCATTCACGAGCGAGAGACTTTCCGAAGTGTGTTACGAAAGATTTGGTCGCGTTATACACTGGCTGGTCCACAGGCACATTGACGATATGGGCGCTCATGCTAGACGTGATGATTAGGTTGCCAAAACCTTGGCTTTTGAAGACCTCGCCAACGTATTTGGAGCAAAACACCACGCCGTCCACTTTTCCTGTAATTAGCATGCCATTTACCGATAGACGGGCGCCGGGTTTACGTACCATTTACAGACATCTGTTTACGATACTCATCTAGTGTTTGCTCTAGAATAGGCTTTGAGATTGCCATGCCTTAAGCCGTTTCAATGTCTGGCCTCTTGTTCTCGTATTATTAACGCTCTGTATAACTCACCTGCGTTTGCAACAAAGACGTCGATCTTGCCGAAATCTTTGACGACCCTACCGATGGTTGAGCTCACTTGGTCAGCTTGGGATACTATAAAACATGTTAGCGGTGAAGGCATATTTAGATAGTAGATACAAAAGAGTCCCACCATCGACTTGATAAGTAACGGCTTTGATCTTATAAGTATCGCTGAAGCTCTTGGCTTTCTCAACTGCTGCGTCGTTCCTTGAGGTCGATGTAAGCATATTTTATAGAAATTGTATAATCGACAATGGACTTTGAGGGAGAAGCTCACGAATTATACCACATTGCGACATTTGCACCTGCTTCTACCATGGCCTCTACCACGGCAAGGCCAATTCCATCAGAGGCTCCCGTCACGACGACGACCTTGTCCTTCATCTGGAACTGCTCAATAACATTATGCGGAGTATTGGGGATCGGACGCGGGAATCCCGGCCGAACCTTTGTGCAATCTTCAACTGTCATAGACATTTTGATGCAGAAGTTGTATTGCTAAAGCTTGAAACCAGATTTCCTGGGTGAGTTTATATGTGCTTTATAAGTATTACCTTGAGCCATCTTGAAGCAACCCCTCATCAGGACCCAAAGACGGCAGAACGCGGGAGACCCACTCCGACCCGGGCGACTGAGGACCGATCGGCAGCCAAAATCTGGAACTCTGAAGCCGGTCGTCACTTAAGTATGATGAATGTATTATTCACAAGAGGGAAGCTGGTGAAGAGGAGGGGTGTAAATCATTTTCCAAAATGAAATTTAGTGATGACTAGACAGTATTGATTCAGATGGATGAAACTAGAAGTAGATCAACATAGTTAGAGAACCAATGGCGCCTCAGAGCCATTGACCTCTTAACATATATGATTAATTTATATAGAAACGGTCGATGTTGAAGTATGCGAGTATGAATCTTCGAAAATTGAATTATAGCCTTAGAACTAGTTTTGGATCATCTCTAGCCTCGCTCTTCCTGCCCACAGAGTCCACATCCAGATGCCAACCACTATCAGAACGTCAAAAAAGCTAAAAACAAGACTGCCTCCAAATATGAGACTATGGTAAGTCCATGCATTATTCTCGTCTAAATGGACAACCTGGCACACTATTGCCCAGGGGAGAACATATAGCAAGTTGCTTGCTAAGCTTTGATACAAATACCACTTCGGCCTTGTAGCTAGCAAAATAGTCGCAAGTTGTGTTGACATTGCGTAAAAGATATAGCACCAGTCAATTGTCCGCCACATGTGCGCAGTGACATCGGCTACTTCGCTCGATCCACTAATATAGAGCGCAAATGGCCGGGCACCGAATGCCGAGAGAAATATTGCCATAGGAACCTCAATTATTAGGGCTATGACAAGTGATCGTAGGGCAGGGTCGATGAGGTTATAGATCTCTTTCCCGCTTGCTCTTGGCCTTCTGTTATGGATCCCAATGTGTTGTCGCCACTGTCCCCATTTATGGCCGATGAATTGGAGAGATGTTGCTTCGAGTGCCTGCACAGGAACCATGACCAAGCCCCAACGAATGGTGTTGAAAACGCCCCAAGCAGTGGCATACACTGATCCTAGTGCAATAACAGTGGTGACAAGCCAAAGATATAGCGCATTTCTGATAGCTGATTCGGTAAAACAGATGAGCCCAGGCCTCAGCAGGATCCGTAGTCCTCGAATGCTTGGAGAAGTAGAACTGCGACTCTCTATGGAGTGGCCCTCCAGGTGATCTTGATGCTGTTTCCGGAGAGCAGAGAAGCTCACAAAGTAGAGGAAATAAGCCAGTCCCACGAGCGCGGCTGTCAAATTACAGGCCAACTGAATGATGCCCTGCATGTTGACGGTTGGTTGGAAAGAGCCGACATGGTAACGAGAGATGATTAGCAAATCCAGAATAATATTAACGGCGAACTTGACCGAGCTGATGACCAACGGGACATCAGGCTTGTCCAAGGATCTCGTGGCTGATGCAACAGCAGTTTCAATCGCACCGCTCAAGACGGTGAAAGAAGTAATGCGCACATAAGTCAGGCTCGCAGCGCGCACTTCTTCCGGTACAAAACTGTCGGCAAATCTTGGCGCAGCGCCGAGGAAGATGACACTCAATATAAATCCTAGCAGAGACTGGAAAGCAATCAAGGTGTGTGTTAATTGCAGACGCTCAGCAAGATTCCGCGATGCCTTATCCCCAATGATGACCCAGGCGGCTCTTGGAAGGCCTTCGTTGATAGCCTCAGAGGCAGTGTTCATATAGGTATAGGCATCTGTTGTAACCACCATTGAGGAATCGATATCAGCCACCCAGAGTTTTGATAGCGTTCCGTAGAGAGCGGGAAGAATAAATGCTGCCACGTTGAAGACGAGCGATCCAAAATAGCGATCACGATGCAGCGTTGGCTTCCATGATCTTTCTTGTGCGTCGATATTAATCACTCTCGGGTTGAAGACCGCCGAAGAGTTCAACGCATCGGTCTCTTGGTTCTCGGGAGTGCTGTCCCGACTATCGGTACCCATTTCTTCTCCAGACGATTTTCAGCCTCGCAGTATGAAATTATGAGATGTATATCGATTGCTAAGATCGATGTAAGACAAAGCAAAGTATTAGACCAGACGAAAGCAGTATTCTAGCACGCAACTTATCCGCAATATACATCTATACATCCTGTTTTCTTGCCCTTTTATATCCCAGAGTGTAGAGCAGATCATGCGGGGTAACACTCTGAGCCGCTGCACCAACATATTGAGTTTCTTGGCGTGGATGTATTTCCAGCAAAGCAAAGCGTCTGTATGCGGTTGTAGGCCGCCCGCGCAATGGATGCTGCAACCATCCTATTGCGGCCTAGATTCTCTCCTTCATACTGCCACCCGCATCAATTGCAGCTAGCCATTGACTTTATTTTCCCTAATGACCAATTGTAGATCGCTCAGCGAACTTCTTGCTATATCTACTCAATTATGGTAATCCGTCTTCTTCAAAGCCAATTCTCTGCAAAGTGCTTCTTTCAACGAGATTTCTCTCCATCATACAGGTTGTTTTTGGCATCGTTATCGCCTCCGTATGCACGGCTGCTAATAGTTTATCTTTCGATCTCCTTATTTTCGGAGAGGTGATTGATAAAACACTGGCATCTGCATAGCTCTTCGATCAAATACTTGATCGCATCAACATAACAGCGACCAGAAACAAAAGCTGCTCCCAAGGCACTGCCATACTTACCATACTCCAGAATTGCATTAACATCAGCCCGGTTTTCAATCAACAAACGACAAACATCTAGTTTGCCCGCATAACTGCCATATCTACCGCATTTCAGAGGGGCATTAACATCTGCTCTGTGTTTGATCAGCAGTTGACAGACTCCCCGCCGTAAAGCCGCTGCCAGAGCGCTGCCGTATTTCCCACATTAGAGTTGACCTTGATATTGGGGTTTGAGGGCAAAACCGTGGGCGATCCGAACAAAATAGGACGATCAACCATAGATGGTGCCGTAGAAGATACTGCATCCATGTCTGTCTGGCCACGGTTACGAGTCTTGACCTTGGGTTTGATACATACGGGACACCAAACTTGGCTTAGAGCGTGTTCCAACTAGCTCCTCTTCTTCACGCTGTTTACGGCCCATAATCCACGAGGCAAGTCAACTGTCGGCGAGCGATGATATTCGCGTTAGTTTAATTGGCAGCGCTTCAATAATACTGAGGGGTTGGGCGCTCGTTCTCAGCCGATGTCCAAGTGGCTGTCAGGCGTTCAGCGCTCTTACTGGTCCAACAGCGCATAGCCACATCAGGCAGATTGCGGCTCCAACAATAGGTGTAGCTATTTTAATACTTTCTTGCATTTGAGAACTCATTGTTTCTTGAACACATCGAGCATGTGCCATTCGACGATTGGCAGCATCTCTATTGTGGTGCTTGAATCATGAGTTACCCCGTATAGGATACATTTTCGCCGGATCCATACAACAAAGGCGCTAAGGCGAGTTGGTGGAGTGGTCTAACACGTGCGACTCAAGATAATATCTTGATCCTTAAACAGGATTTCGCATCTCGCAAGAGGCGTGGGTTCGAATCCCACACTCGTCAGTCTTTGATTTTTTGTCTCTCTTTCCTTTTTTTTTTGGAACTTTTTTAAGCTTTGCTCTAATTCTACAAAACGTCTAAAAAATACAAAAAAAAAAAAAAAAAGCCACCCATCTTTGAAGCGCTTTGACTTTTTTTCCCCACGTCTACCTAGGATTAATGAATAGGTAAATAATGTGCATTAAGTTAAGTTATCTCGTCTTTCAATCAAGCTCGTCTCTATATATAACAAATAATTTTTTTTTTATTATCGCCATCCGTTTTAATTTTATTACCTGAATAGGGTAACCCTGTTACTGGCAACTTATGTGTAATATAAGCTGCTTTTCTTTAGATACTTGAAATTTATTATCGTTGATATCCAAACGAACTGCAGCATGTATCCTGCAGCTCAACCAAACACCCAAGTTCTACTTCCATAAGACTAATCTAAGAGAAAATATTATATAATTAAGAATGTTAGAGAAATATTCTCAAAAAGCCATGATGCTACCTTAACGCCCGCTATCAGTGAATCCTGCCATGCTTCCCTTGCGCCTCAAGTCGCCTGCTTTGAGCTTCCGCACAACTTGATAAGACCGATCCAATTCGTTCTCAACAGTACACCGTATCTTGAGCGCCGCCACCGCGGGCCACACACTCCTCTCACCCCTCAATATCCAATAATTCAGAGTATCTTGAGTGGGTGTCTCAAGCAGGCGAACAAAGTCACTAGCAGTAACTTCAGGTACCAGCGTCATCGATGCCGCAGGCACTTGCTCGTCTATCAAGAAGCGACGGATACTCGCCGGTACAAGACGGAGCGAATCCAGCTGCCGCAGGCGGTGCCTTATTTCGAGTCCCACCATACGAACGAGAAAAGCCGAAAGCTGGGTCGTCTTGCTTCGAGTCTCCAGTAGAGATGGTCCATGCATATCAGATTGTAAAAAGGGAATCAGATAAGGCCTAGCTTGACTAACAATAAAATGGTTCACGTTGAACAGCTCGGCAATCCGTCTAAGAGGGGAATCACGGTCTGTGTAGGAAGCATGAGTCCAGTGGCGGAAGTCGGTTGTGTTTGCCGGAGCCCAAGGAACAATGTTGCCATGCGCATCTTTGCACAGAATTGTGACCTTGGAATGGCCATATAAAGAGGGCGAAGATGCATTCGAGGCGACAGCGGCCGTCCAAATCAACTATTCACGCAGAGTTAGCACAGAAACAGCAAATGCCCAGTGTCTATTCGACATACCACATTCGGCGCAGTGATATAGTTTAAGAGAGTCGGGACACCAGCCCCCTGACCATCAGTCGCCACGGTTATATTCAGGACTCTTTTGCTGCGATTATACGCCTCCTCGAATGTTAAGTCGCCAACATTTGCTCTCACGCATTCCTCAAGAACGGTAACGTCCAAGAAGTAGCCCTCCCTCGAGAACCGTCGAATTCTTCGCATTAGAGTATTCCATCGCGAGCCTAGTGACTGCTGAGCAGGAATTTGGCCATCCTCATTTCTCCCCTTGGATGCAAAGGCACTGAGATCGATGCCATCGCCCCGGAGAACGCCTGGTAGCTCCTCTTCGGTATGTATGGCTACCAACGCTGCGATCAATGCACCAGTCGCCGTTCCGGTGATGATTCGCGGCAATAGGCCTCTGAGGAACAGGGCTTTGACCACTCCAAGATGGCAAAGACCAAAGATGGCGCCACCTTGAAGGACCAGTGTACTCCGCCCAAACGCCTGTCTTGTATCATGGATGAAATCCAACTTCATCTGATTTGTTAATGCTTTGTCATGAGCATACAGGCCAGACGCGGCACTCGTTGGAAGAGTGCTTATGTCTTCCACTGATTCGGCCACTTGGGCGATGTATTCTTCAATCAGGTATTTTGTCCCCGAGAAAGATCGATTATATAGCTTCGGTACGGAAATATTCCCGAGGTTGCGTACGAGGCCCGAGCGAAGCAAGTTGACGAGCTGCTCATAGTTGTTCTCTTCTCGTGCGATTATTAAGGAGTCTAGACGTTCTGTTATAAGCGCCCAATCGTAATATTTAGATGTCGGATTATTCCTCCTGTAAGTGCCATCACGGTTAGTGCAAGTTTCCTCCAACTCCAATGCAGAAAGAAGCCAATGCCATACCACAGGTCGAGTCCCAGCAAGTTGTCGAGATGAAGTGCCGCCTCCTCCCAATCCTCAAACGTCTCTGCATTGCGCAGCAGCTCAAGCCACAGCTTGACAGGGTTCTTTCGCGTATACCAGCTCAAGAGCTTCTTCAAGGGCGTCAGAAAGACGAGCATTGCGATGGGGAGCAACAATGAAAACGCCGTTACCTTGCGCCAGAACGTAGCCACGTCCACCACCACCCTCCATATAGACAGCACTAACCCCATGATTGCCGAGGAACGCTTTCACGCGCAACGTCAGACCATTTCACGAGGGCCGCTGCGCTGTCACTCCGTATCTGTCGGCACACGTTGCACGGTGGGTCGGTCGGTTCAGTTCACGGCGCGCCGAGTGGGAGGCCAAGCCGGCATCGTCGAGCCAACGCCGGCGGTACTGAGGGTGAAGGTCGAGCGCGAAGTAGCAGGTCTTGAGGTCTTGTGACAATGGCGTTGTTTGGCTATTGTGTGAATCGTCGCAGGCGCGTTTTTGCTGATTTGGTTGCTGTGGTCTGGTCAGAGAAAACCAAGCCCCGGACAGCGCCACGACAATTGATTACATTGCCGGCTTGTCTTTTGCCGGCTTCCCACGGCCTGGCCGCTAAATTAAAAGAGATGAGCATGTGATGGATTGTTGAGAAGGGTATGAGATCACCCCGGGGTAGTGCGCCACAGCGCCACATTTCTGGCTTAGCGTTCCTGGACACACATAGCTTTGCTTATGGATAGCGGATAGCGGATAACGTGCATTAGTATGAAGTGCCATGTGCATTATCGATATAATGCTCCATGCATCAATCATGCACTAAAACAGCAGTTGGAGCTTGACTTCAGTGTTTAATTCTACGACCGCCTGCTCTATTCAGCATCTACATGAGTATCCAAGTACATAAGAATGCCTCATCATGAGATAAATCAGAGAGGAAATTCCACAACAGTCTCTTACAAAAGTGGAGGCATCGCAGGGGCCACATATGTAATACTAGGCATCTCAACGTTTTTGCCGGGACCGTCTTTGCCACCATCAGGTGCCTGGCCCAAACCAAACAAGCCAATGTTGGGAGCTGCTGTTTTGCCTAGTACATAATATGGAGCGAGCGAATCGACTAATGGGTCAGTCTCTGAATGCGGGATCATTCGATCTAGCCATATTGACGCGTTACACGGTCTTAATTTGAAGGATACAAAAAATGGTAGTTGAATGCACATAGCTACACACTAGTGTACGGGAAAAAGCAATTGTGACCGAACTCCCATCTGTATCTTTTTTGCAGTATCAATTACTAGGTAAATTAAGTTATACAAGACAAAAAAAAAAGGCCGAATGAAGCCTTTGTCAATGAGCAGCTGCTTCATCTTCCCCAGCTGCGAGTCTCCTTATTAAACGCCTCAGTCATCGTCATCGTCAATAATGTTTCGCCGCCTGCCCGATCTGCCAGAAGTCTCCATCGGTTCCACCTCATCTCCTTCCGCATCCTCGTCATCTTCGGGTTCTTTAGTTCGTTGCCTTTTAGATCGTGGAGCTTCATCTTCGTCATCATCGTCCAAGATGTCCTCCTCTTCGTCTTCATCAGCACCACTCTCAACCTCCTCGTCACTGCCCACCAAAAAGCCATCATCCAAGTCGTAGTCCTCATGCCGCGAGACACCCTGGGGAAGATCATCATCAGAGTCATATTCTGGACGCCGTCTCTTGGGTCGCGCAGAGCCAGGAGCCCCTCTCTTTCGGGCTGCACCAGATCGAGCGCCCTCCAACCCGCCAATGGACAGGCCACCGCGGCCAGATCGCCCCAGTCCGCCATCCATCTTTGCTACGGCGTTCTCGCGCTTTCGCTGGGCTTTCATCCGCTCCTTCTCTGCCAACTCGGCTTGCTTCTTCTGTAGCTCAGGGTCCACAGTCGTTTTGATAATCATGCCGCTGCTGGCAGACGACTTGCTAGCCAAAGCCATCCTCTCTGCCAAGACAGACAGGGCATTATCTCCAACAGCCTTGTTTGGTCTCACCGTGTACTGTTCTGTCAAGTGGCCCACCGTCATTAACAGATTGCTGCTTAATTCAGCGGCCGCAGCGTAGTAATGACCGTCTTTTAGTTCATCGTAAGGCTGTCCTTTGCCCGGAGCCAGCGCTTTCTTCTGGATTTCATATTGTTCGCCTCCGATAGAAATCGTAACAGAACCATCACTCCACCGGTAAATATTCGTGTTGCTCTTCAATTCATTTGTGGCAGCGTCTCTACGAACACGCACAACGTGTTTTGGATGCTCTGCCTTTGCGTTCTCCATGTCAAATTCAGACGGCCGGAATGATTCTTCTTCGTATGGCTCGGGGAGGAATTTGACGAACTTTGGGACGCGCAGTATCCGAAGCTGGTATAACAGTTAGCCGTTTGATCACCCAGAGACATGCATGACGATCCAAAACACTCACCGCGTCATCAGATGGTTTAGGGACACGATGGCGATATGCCTGCACAGCCATAACGACTCTCTCTTTTGTTTCATGTCGCGACTGGCTCCCCTCGTACTCTCGTGGCTCAGCATCGCCGTAAGCTTCGGCATCTGAGGCAAGTTCATCATCGTCTAGAATGCGTCCCTGGGGCGAGGCATCTCCTTCGTCACCCTCATCTCCAAAAAGGTCATCGCCGCCCTCGTCGATGGCATCGAGGGGATCCTCCGAATCGGACATTGTGTCTTGCTGCAAACGAGTTATCGCCCAAAAATTCGTTTCTAGTTATTCTCGGGCGCAAAAAAGAGCACCAGGGTACCAATAAGTCGAATAGCGGATAGGCGAGGATGAACGAGGATTGCGAGGCTGCAGCTTCGAAATCTGCTGCGCGAGTGGAAGAGCGCGGTTCACAATTGACTGCAGTTCAGCGCCTGTGGCTGATGAGGCTGCACCAGCCACACTGAGCAATTGCTGTGCGTAGCGCTGCTTAGTCATGAAATCTGCAGCAGGAAATTACATGTATGCGGATATCTCATCCAATTGGCGCAAGGCTGGCCATATACTAGCAGAATAATGGGTGGGTTAATGCTAGGTAGTAGGGTAGCAGCGCAGCATCCTGCATGTGAAAAGCTATGATAGTCCATGAGGACAATACCTACTCTATTAGAACATGTGAAAGGGAAGTATTTTCAGAAGAAGAACAGTTGCCAAAAAAAAAAAAAAAAAAAAAAAGTAATTGCCCTTGTTTGATAGATGGCTCAGTCTCAGTCTCCGGCATCACATACACGCAGTCGGTTCGCAAACATACAAGTAGTTAGATGCCACCAGGATAATTGCAAAAAAAAGGGTCTTCTCTCTGATATCTCGTCGACAACTGCTGATAACCTGTTCAACTTGGCAAAGTCGCCGCCAATAGCACAAACCCAGGCCCCAATCAGCCGCTAATGGCCAACCTGAAACCTCCACACGCCCAAGCCATCTCATTACTCGATCCAAAATGCACTAATTCCCCGTGTCAATACGCCGCACTTCGTACTTCGTACTTTGTTATAGCGCCCGCCAGTCAACTGCTACCAAGTGCTACCTGTTAATAACGGCCTCGTCGTCACGTATTACTAGTCTAAAACTTAAGCCCAACAGCCCGTCGGCGCGGCTTGGATATCTTAGCTTTTAACAACTCACACAAGGAGAATCTCTCCTTTTTCTTGCCTCCGAATTGGCCACTTTTCAAGCCCGGCAGCAGCCCAGCAAGACAGACTGCACCGAGTCCATCCCATCTGCAGCTCTCTGGACCGGCTATCCTGCACCCCTATTTTTTTCTCTGCATAGGATCCCGTGACAAGGCTGGAGCCACCCTGACCACTGTTTACTGCACCCACCACTTTCACCCCGCCTTTTCACAATGTCCAACCTCTTTTCTGGGATGTAAGTGCTGCGGGTTGACTCTGGCTGTTGTTTTCTTGTTTTTGCTTTTTGCTCTTTGCTCCTCTTCCATTTCATCCTCCACTCTGTTTTTCAGGTATGTTCCTTTGAAGTCGCAGCTGCTGCATTCCCTTCTTGGAAAACTGCCCGATTAGGCTTCATTGAGGGGAGGGGTCCTGAAACAGGCATCCCCAGCGGTGAGGGGCAAGTGTCTCGAGCAGCCTGTTCATATATCCAGGATGCTGTTTTCGCCATTGAATGCCATCTGCGTTAGCATCTCCGTGGAATATCTCGTCGCAACAAAGCTCAAATGCTTGGGCTTCTCCGGGTTGCTTTGGGACCGTTCAATGCGGCCAGGAAGTCGAGCTGGGCACCCCGGCCGGGAGAAGCTCCCAAGGGGCCACTTTTAGGCATTGTCGTCGATATCTGAGAGACAGCTCTCATCACTTGAGCCATGCTGCATCGGTATTGCTGGCGGATGCTATATACGGAGCCCTTCTCATGTCGATAGCAGCCATACAGTGAATGGCACTTGGCAGCTGCACTTGAAAACTCTCCTAAGTCGACATGGCCTGGATGCGTCTCGCGTGCCTTATATACTCCCAGCAGAGGAGACAAGGCTGCAAGGCCAATCTCCACCCCTGATACCGATTTATCATATTTCCTATTTTGTTACCCCTTTCCCACTCACCACTCACCTTTTCTATTTATAAAAGCCGGACACGCACACGCCATTCCCTGCACGCTTCGGCATCTGTATCAACTTAAACCTCATGCGAGACGCTAAAGACATTTAAGCGAAGCTCACGCGTCTCTCTCGGCCTCTGCTCTGCTATTTTGCCCACCGCGCTGACACATCACTATCGACCTGTTGTTGATTCAGACTATAATTTGCGTCTTTCCACTAACCAAATCCCCTAGTAACGCTCGTCTCCGAGGCGGGCCTAAAAGCCCATCCCCATCACAAAGTTCCCAGGGCCCCCTGCCGCATCCCTCATCCGACGTCGCCTCATCTCCCAAGACATCTTCGGCCAGGCTACCTGAGAGAACTCCCTCTTTTCCCGCTTCAACCTCTTCTCCTCAGCCTAGTGGAATGGCCCAATCAGACGCAATGGCTACCGGCGATGATGTTATCAACTCTTACCACCTTCCGCGGCCACTTCCGCTGTGGCTCAACTCTAACTGCGCAAAGCATATCGTCAAGGGAAACTTTATGACCCTAAGCGCGCGACCAAAGACAGTTGAGCAAGGAGAGTGGGTAGCTCACCAGGGTTAGTAGCCTTGCTTAGCATTCGTTGCCATATTTCACGGCGCTCACTAATATTGCGCAGTTGTTGAGCACTATCGTAACCTCTGGAACTTTGTTCAGGTGGTTCACGCCAAGGAGGAGACGGGAAATACCATCTGCAACCCGACTTCTTGTCCCCGAATGTCCGCAGGAGCGTAAGTAGTCCAAGTCTCCGCCCGCCTCTCAATCTGAGTGCATCTGCTCACTTCAGTCGTTAGAAATCACTCTTTCACCTGGCTCAATAGTCGACGTGAGCCAGTCGAACTGCCGGCTCATGAGTACATGACTCTTATGCAGCGATGGATCGCGGGCAAGATTGATGATACCGCCATCTTCCCGACTGATCCTGCCGGCGTCTCTTATTCTCACAACCCTGCCATGTCTTCAACTCCGCTGTCTCAGCTCACTAACCCGGGAGAGGGCGACTGGACTGGCAAGCGATCTGGATTCCCAGAAAAGTTTATTGACATTTGTCAGATGATATTCCGCCAAATGTTCCGAGTGTATGCTCATCTCTACTGGGCACACTTTTCAGAACCTTACTACCACCTAAACTTGGAGAAGCAGTTGAATAGCTGCTTCTCACATTTCCTGCTAACAGCCACGGCGCTGGATATGCTGGGAAAGCAGGACCTGGAGCCGATGCAGCCTCTGATCGATCTTTGGGCGGCTAACGGGACTTTCCCTCCGGAGTCCAAGGTTTATGAGTTTGCAAACATTCAAGCTGGCGAGCGATTGATTCAACTTGCGGGCGTTGTTCAGTAAAAGATTTTCTTTGGCATTTTGTTATAACGTGTTTCTTCTGTTTGGTCCACGTGTCATTGTTCAAAGGCAGATAGAAGAGTATGTGGCCTTTACTTTTGGGTACATGTAGTCACAGAATAATAGCTATTTTGAGCGCTAAAACAATCGGCACAAACCTTGAAGACTTTCTTGAGAAAAGAAAATATGAGCATTAGATTAGTGTAGTAACAATCGTAATAGGAAGCACCGAATCTAGCCATTTAATCTCAACTCCAGTGAATCTTCTTCTCTCATGATCCAGCCGGTATTATAGCCCTCTTCCGCAAACAAAGCTATATACATAAGATCTGATTCCTATTCTGTCACATACTCATCCTTGAACAAAGATTCTCCTTGATATTCTCACAAATATTTATAACATAGGGTTTATTTACTCTATAGGACGTTGTAGACAGCATCAACACATAGAATATCTGTATACAAAGTATGCATTTAACTCAACACAAATGCGTGACGTTATTCATTCTCATACATTCTTGAACAAGAGTACTCCCACAATCGTTTCATCGATATAACTTCGTATTAGATATTTTTATGTAGGAGAAGAATGGTATAACCGCCTCTGACAGAACATCAACCCGATTGGCACCATACCTACCACAGGCCTTGTCCTGGTAGCTATCTTTATAATATCAGCCGGCGCTGGCTACATCTAAGGATCATCGGGAACCTAAGGAAGTTTATTTATCACATTTCTGACATAGTGTGTAGAAAGGGATTGGCTTCTTGTACAAATCCAATCATTTCGGTGGCATAGTGCAAGAGATCGATCTCAGACAGATTAAAAGCATCTTCTCTAACTATATAGGCTATCTAGAGTATCAAGACAGAATTTTATGAAAGTAATTGTTAAAACAAGTCAGGTGGTATGAATTGTTGTAAGGAAACCCGACAGGATGAGTGCCATTAAATTCAATTATCCTTACCTATGTAACTATATCTTTTTTTTTTTTTAACGTATACCATTGATTTAGGCGTTTCTTTCGCTCCATATAGATGTTACAGTGGTTAAAAAAAAACGCCTTCTATCCTAATATCCTCGCCTCACAAATCACCAAAAATTGCCCCCTTATCTACCAGCATCTTCAAACCTTAGCAAATCCTTTCGTTTTATTAACAAAGGGGGGGATCATAGGAAAACCTTCTCTCTTCAGTTCAATATTATCCACTTTTGAACTATAATGTGCCTATTTCTCCATGAGTCCTCACTTTCACGAATAAAACAGTAGGTGTAGTGTAAGATGTTTTTATGGGCCAGGAAGAATGAGTAGAAATGACGAATGGCTCATACACAAACATTTTGATTAGAGCACTTCCACATGGAGCCCACAAGAATATACGTCAAGCCAATAAATCAGATATTGTATATCTTGTTCTTGAAGTTTCCTCGCTGCCCTATAAATCTCTCCAGATGGCAAATAGTTTTATCCACTATTGGATAAACTATCTATGCAAAGCCCTATCCGAGATTCACAAAATCCCAACGCAGTCCAATTTATCCGGTAGATCCAGTGGCAAAATTCAACTACAAAGCTAACCAGAAAACCAAGAAACGGGGGACACCCCCCCCCCCCCCCCCCCCCAAAAAAAAAAAGAACTTTCCTAATGGGCCAAGAGTTACGCAGGCCCATCGCCGTTCAAAGTGGTTCAAGCAGAAATCAACCCGGCAAAAAGCACCTAATCTTGGTCCGCTCATGCAGCATCTGTCAAATATCATATGTACAAACCGACGAGGGTGCATCAGCATATAAGAGAAAGAGAAAGAAAAAAAAAAGAGCCGGGCCATCTGCAGGCTGAGCCCTGCAATGCCGGGTCCTCCAGTGGCGATTAGAGACGGCCTCCTCCTGCTCCTCCTCCTTCCCCCATCTCGACTAATAGGCCTCAAGTTCTCCTCACATAATACATGGAGCTATTCGCAGACGTACATTGAGCTATCCTAGGGCTCCTTGCTTGAGCAATGGCACACTCGAGCTCGCCACTGGCCAAGTTGCCAAGCTGAAACCCCAACGCTATCTTACTTCGGTTTCGAGAGGAGAAGGCTGCCGTTTGAGAATTAAGTTGCAGGTTAATTGCCTGTTTAGAAGAGTGGAAGTATCAGACCCTTGCCTTGTTTTTACAGCACGAGAATCCTGCTCCGAGGCATCTAGCACTTCTCCTTCCTCTCGAAGCCGCACTCGTCCGGATAGACCGCGGTACCCTTCGCCCAGCCGTAGAAGCCGTCATGGTCAACAAGTGGAGTCTTTCTCGGTTGATCCTAGAATGTAAGCCCATCGCCTTGCACTGCTACCGACCAACGTACATACAAGTGTGCTTGTACGCCCCAGACTGTCGCTTGTTGATGGTCGATGGGTATATCGATATCGCCACTAAGCCCACTTCGCACCGCCCATCGCCATACTTGTACATGATTACTGGTTTCAGATGGGCGGCATGATCATGTCCCTTGGCCATTAATAGACGATTATCTCTCCGTGGCGCGGGCAATCCGGCTAACTAAATGCTCAGGTGAGAGGCGTGTTAATCCCTTCCCTCTCTTTAGCGCACCCTTCAACGTAGGCAAATGAAGATTCGCAATATCCCAGGCTATTTTTTCTGTTTCTTATTTTATTTTTTTCAGCTTTTCAACGCGCCAGGCAATAATTTCATGCAAGCTACTATTTTAGCACCTCGTCCAAGTTCTTTTAAGCTCGCGCCCGCCGGGGACTACATCCGGAAAAGCTGAAAGAGGTTTGGGAAGTTCTTCACCGCCAGTATCATCCGCTCTAAACTCCTACTTCTTTGTAACTCACGGGCGATACCGGAAAGCGTAGGAAAGGGAAGTCAAAACAAAAAAAAAAAAAAAGAAGGGCAAAGGGAAAAAATTCAAGTCTTCGGCAAAAGCGGGAACTGGTGCCACAAGCGCACTTGGAGTGATGATGGTTGAGATCAAGTGGTAGCAGCGCCTAACAAGGACAAAGAGAGGCATCGGATGCCATGCATGCTTACGGAGTCAATGCTCACCTACCCAGGTTCATACATACGTACTTGTACAGAACAGTGGTAGTATGCACATATGCAATTCGTATACGTGCCGGGTTGTCTCTCTGCGGAGCGCAGCAGGTAAAAGGAGAGCGGACGGCGATAGGTGGGCGATGCTCTGAAGATGCAGTCCTCCCCCATGCCAACCTTAGCACATCAGACAAAGACGCCTAGACGTCCACTGACTGGCTATGCTGCGATCCAACCCTGGCTTCCCGCCGCCTGCCTGCAGCAGAGGCATGCAGCTGCCTGTGTGAGAGAGGTCAAGGGTTTGAGCCTCAGGCGTGCCAGGCTTATCCAGAAAGTGCTCGCAGGCCGTGTTCAACAGCATCGCGTGTTTTCCCAGTGAGACATAGAGCTCTGTGGTGCGGAGTATGTACTCCGTACAAACAGATCCCCCGTTTCTCTTTCATACGAGTATTGCTGGCAGTAGTAGTCCCAGCAGTAGCACCATACTACCTACTACTCGTATTTGTAAATGCCGTTGACCGAAAATCATGAGTGAGACATTGAAATATCAGTCCATATGACGAAGGATTGCCTTTTGACATGCCCCCATATGTGCCGTCGGAGGTGTGCCGCTTGCCGACTTCTTTTCGCCTTCTCCCAGCTTTTTGATCACACCGACTTCTCCCTCATGAGATCTTGGTACGACAGGCCACCTGCTTGTTTGTTAACTTGTAGTAGGTATCCATGACTCTCATGACACTTGTTTAGAAGCCCTGCCTTATTTGAATGAAGCACAAAAGGCTTCTACGCATGTTCCGCGTCGCGGTCTGTTGTCTGTCGACTCCGTGATTGGGGGAAGCTCGTGGTTCAGTATCCATCAAGATCCATCAAGTCGATTCACCGCCGTCGATTTAGCTTGCGCACTATCAATCCTTGTGCAGACATGTTTCAGAATGATTATCCACAGAAAGCTTAAAGGCGGTGATGCGTAGAGCTAGAACTCGTAGCCAGAGCGTCTCGTCCACGTGCGTCTTCTTTTCGTCTTCTCTTCTCTTTGCTTTTTTCGTTTGCTTCCAGGGTAGGGTCTACAGGCAGGACCCCGGTCTCCATACGCATTAGCAAAAGCTTCGTCCGGGTTGTGATGCCCGTAGGCAAAGAAATGGGGCTCTCCGGCGAACGGCGTTCGGTGACTCATCTCCCTAGGTTCCGCTTGTCTCCCGTGATGCGGACAGTGAGCGTAAAATTCGTGCTTCTGCGTCGGCCATGCGAGGAAAGACAAGATGCCTGCTTATTCTCTCCCCCTAGCTGTTCATATTCTAGCTTAACCGGCACTTTCCCAGCCGCTCTTTCATATGCACACAAGTACCGCTATGCTTATCATTTCTCTTCGGTAGCAGGTGTTTGGTGTTTTGTGCAAAGGCGTTCGCATCGAATTCTTCGCCGTTGAGAGTGGAGCTTTGGGCGATACGCTTGATCGAAAATGTAATCGCAATCCAGCTGCATATACTCCGTACCTGCGCTCGTCAACTGAAAACCACGCTTCAATACTGATATCATCCATGCTCAACAAGACTGGACTTCTCTCTGTGCCTGGCTAACAAGGCACTAACAATACCTCTTACCGCATACTACTTGAGTGGAGTGGTGTTGATACTTTGGATGACAAGAACGGAACGGCGCTGGCCATAATACAAGTGGTGTTGAGAGAGACACTGTATCATGTGTGCATCCCGAAAGAGCTTATGTTAGCCAAAAAAAAAAAAAAAAAAAAAAAAAGGCTCTAAAGTATGGTGGCTCATAGCCGTGAAAGCCCAATACTTGGCTTTTGTTTTTTAATGCTTCGTATAAAAGGGTGGGTAGAATCTTCCAAAGTACCTGTTCTGTTAGATGCCACTCAGTATCGGATATTTGCTTCATACGGTGTCCCTACAAGTAGCACTTCGTACTGTTGAGCTATAAACGTAGCTCTTGCGTATGGCGCCGTACTAGCAAACGGAACACTAACGGTAGAGACAGGTACCCGTTTCGTGCTCCATCCCTGGTGGGCGCTCGCGATGCTGACCGCACATTCGTAGCGTGCATGATAACCCCAGCTCAGCTGGGACTCTAGCGCACAATTATGAGGGCTATATCATTTCCGGGTTCTGGAATAGCTTCAGACAGACATGCCGGCAGCGTTTGTTTCGATGTTTTTAGCCTCTGGCTTGCGCCAAGGAACAAAACCGGCCCACCAATTGCTAACCAGCGAGTCAAGACTATCTTGACCGGACTTGATATCGACGGGCGACTCTAAGCCGAAGGGAGTTCTGCGTAGACCGCTTGTGATCACCGCGGGCAAATTCATCAAGCTACACATCCTTACGACCTAGACTACTCCTACTATTGCAGACCATCTTTGCCTAGCACAAGCACTACCATTCAGTTAGTGCTTGGCTTTCCTGCAAGGGTGACGAGTGTATTCATTAGTAAACCGACAGACAATATTGAGCAACATAGCTGGCTGTGGACTGTCAGCCGCTGGTTGGGCGCTGCCGTCAATGCTGCCGCGGAAGGAGATAGCTCTGAATGGCTACAAGGGGGGGAAAAAAGAGAGAAAAAATGAACGAAAATCTTCAGCCGAGCCAACCGCAGTGATGGCCCAGCCCTCCCCCATGAGTCAAGCTGCTATCACGAGATAAGGAGGGCCGAGGAAAAGCAGAGGGCCCTCTAGAATAGGTACCCGTCGTATCTCCTCACAGTCAAGAATGAGCTGCCAAGTTGGGTACTCAGTCAAGCCTGAATTTTCGTATCCTTTTCCCATTTGAATTTGGGGCTCGGACTTGGGCAAATGGTGTCGAACCAACATTCGCAGGTACGTATCCACAGGAGGCGCAGCCAGAGCCTTGATGAGGGAGGTGCTCTGTACATCCAACTCTGTTGATCTCTCCATTGGTCTTGATTCTGGGCCCCGTGCAGACAAGATACGCAGATACGTAGTTGGACACAATTGCAGAGATTGGGGTTTTATGATTTGCATAACCCCAGTACGGGCTGAACATCAAGCCTGCTTTGTTGTCTCGCTAGAGGCCATCCAGGTGGCAGTCAATCATGCAATCGCTTATGACTGAGACATGATCAAGACAAAAATCTCCTCTGACACCACCGGGAGACTTTTCCTTGGACAGCCAATGGGCGAAGTTGGGCCGGATGGCAGCCATGGCCAAGCCCCAAGTTTGCCCTCAGTCCCAGCGGAGGTTACTGGCAAGAAGGCCTGAAAGACGCACCGCCGCAGTTGAAAAATGACCAGCAAACCAGATTCGAATGGAGCCAGGACGCTGTTCTGGTACATCTGGGAAGCCACAGTCTCAATGCTCAGTGTCAAATCCGGTGAACTTGGCCATGTTGATTGGTTGGCGACGCATGCACTTAGGGTCTTGTTAATTGGCCGTTCTTGACGCTTCCCACAGAACACAGCAGCTCCCCCGAGGCATTATCCAGACGGATATGATGATCTCGTCCCCCGAGACCAGGTATGGAGGCGTCCTGTCCTTCGTAACTTCGTGGAGGGCTGAAGATGCATCGGCCTGACGGCCTAAGGGGTGAGAAAGTAGTGTCGTCGATGCCTAACGAAGACGGACGCGCACGCGTCATGAGTAACCAAACAGATCGAGTGTGATAGGCGCAGCAAGAAAAACACACCGACAAAACAGACAGCGGAGAATGGTGCAAGTTGTCGGCGGGCCATGGCCGCTTCATATGCGGCCATGGCACAGTGGAGCCCAGGCGCCTCTTTGGTTGGAGGTCTCTGGGTCGACGACGCCAAAGAGAGACCAAGGCCCGTGTTGGAAATATGCACCAGCCACGAGAGCCCACTGCGAGGCAGCATGGCGCATGATGATGGGCAGGACAAGGAGGAGCGAGAGCTAGAATCGTATGCTGAGTTGGAGAAGATGGGGCACAATCGATAAGCGATTATCTAATACCTTCCACTGCGTGTCAGTGTTGTCCCCGTCCGGTTGGTGAGCTGCATTGCTAGGTACCTAAGGTGTGCTGCTGTACGTACTGTACATACCTCCCTCGCAACCCAGCAAAAGCTGTAGCAGCAGTACGCCATGTCCGTGCATTGCCTGATACGTGTTGCAGGATGCGAGGCAGCGTCAAAACGGCAAAGCGGATGACATTATCGTGTGCTTGATATTGGCTGCCCAGCTTCCGGGACATCCATTAGTCCTCCAGCTCGATCCTTACTAATCCGGGTCAGTACTTGATGGTCGGTGCAAGGCCGTACGTGCGCGTGAAGTACCTCACGTAATCCAAGGTCAGGTGCTGCGGCGCTCGCTTTCTGGCAGCCCATTACTGGTCCACTGTACGAAGGCCCCAGTGGGTCTCCATGCTCGTACCTCACCAGCTAAATCAAGCGAAGAGGTACATACAGGCCTTGCTTGTCAGCCCACCCCGTCGCCCTTCTCGCGTCTTTCAGGTGGGCTGTCGCAGTGCATGAGGTCCAAACCACATCAGGCATGACTGGCCTGGGCCAAACGCTGCGTCTCGCCTGATGGGTGCCATGACACCTCCCACGCAGCCCCGGTATTTGCCTATCGATTTGATGGCCTGTGACGATACGATACGACCGATAGAGGGAGAGAGGGGGAGGGGGTTTGCGAGAAACCGTGGAGAAGTGAGGGGATTCAATGGCCAGACAGAGCGCGCGGCCACATCACGATGACCAAGAGACGCCAGCGCCAGTGGAATAGAGGGCCGCTCCGCTGTGACTGGCCGGATTCGAGGCCATCTACTCCATCGAAGCTCTACCAGTGGTTCACAGGCCACTACTTTGCACGCCAAAGAAGCAGGCGTTTCGCACCGTCGCCCTTAGTAGAGCGCACACTACTGGCCCGTCCCGAGCTTTTGAGTGGTCACAAGTCAGCGGGTATGGCGTCCACCCGCTGTCCGGGTCGTGCGGGAGCGAACAACGCCGTCCATTACTCTCTTGAGTCCTGAGGAGCAGCTCATTCCTTTGGGGGAAGGGGGGTCGTCTGAGAGAGTTGGGTCTCAGGAGCTTGATGCCCAATCTGCCAACCTTTTCTCGGCGGCGCGAGACTAGCATGCGGGCACCTCTCATTCGCTCTGTCTTGGATCTCATCCCGTCGTTGAGCCTATCCATCTTGGATTCTGCCTCCCGGCGTCGCGGATGGCACCCGTCATGGCCCGCTTGCCGAGTCTTGACAGGCTCAATCATGGGCCATGGACATGACGGAAGCTCATTCGTTTCAGTACCCGCCCTGCTTTATGCGAGTCGAGCCAGAGGCAATTTTTCCTATCCTTTCTCTGCTAGTAAGGCGGGTGATGGGTTGACCATGGCGTCGTGGGCTGAGCGCTGCTGAACTGACTGACTGGTCATGACGAGGACCGTTGCTTATCGATTCTTGAATCAGGGCGACCTTGGACACAAGGCAGCGGCAAAGTTAGTACGGTACCCAGTGAGGCGCAACCTGAGGCACGTAGAGGCCGCTTCGAGTCACAAGAGACAGCTGCCCCCAGGCCGATCAGGTGTGCGGTATGGTCATTGTGGTTGGTGATGGCCATGCCGAGGCCTGCTTGAGACAGACAAAATAGTCGAATAGAGTACGAAGTACGGGACAAGATGCTCTGCTAAGTCCCATTCCGAGTGCCACATGAGAAAGAAAGAAGGGGGCCAGGGCCAGGGATCAGCCCAGCCCAGAAATGGTGTGAACGCGAGAGCTCAATACAAAGCAGAAAGATGGAGAGGGCTAAACATAGCGGCTATGACATACTACTGCTGCATCACATCTACCTACATACAGGTGCTGCTAGCACCCTACTCATACGCACGAGTACGAGATACTGGTAGGTATGCCCACCACCGCAGCCCTAGATAGAGAGATCCATTGTGCCATGCTCAAAGGGTATAAGGGATGCTCCGTGTGTGTCCAACTCGCTACACGCACGCACTCGTGGGCTTTGATAGCACTAATCGTACGGGCGCACTGCCGCTTCAGAATGGAGTGCGGAGGATTACAAGCATGGTGTTATGGAAAAAATAAAATAAAAAATAAAAAAATAAAAATAAAAACTAAAGAGGCGAGAGCCAAATCTCACGACAGGCACCCCTGTCCAACGCCGGCCCCGAAGACCAGGCCCTAGACAAAGCCCGTTTGAGCCCGACAGCATGATGACGAGCGCCCACGACGCACTAATACTGCTCATACTACAAGAAGTAGCAGTAGTACGGAGTACGAAGTACCACTATCGACAACGACCGGCTGTACTCTGTACTCTGTACTACGCACTCCAACTGCGGTATGGAGTAACACCTACATGCGAGCAAGGTATGTACATATGCATTACACATACGCTTCAGAGTACATACATGGGAGCCCAAAGCGTGTACCTATTACTACAGAGCCTAATATTGGAACTGTTCAGCCCACGGACGACATTCTCCTCTCTCGCTATCGCCCTCAGCAGACCCTCCCGCGATTATTAGCCCGAGGAGATTTCGACGCTGTCATCATGCCAAATCAACGTGCTTGCACGGAGATATCAGCCTAGCAACAACTATCAGTGTGTGGTACGTACCGGCCCTCGGCGCAGGCGATGAAGCACAACGCCTCCTCTCTAGACGGGCAGCTCTTCTTGACTAAGAAGACGATAACTAAGCAGCTCTGCAGACCAATGACGGATGGATCTCAATCATTGGCTACATCTGACTCTCCTTCGTGCTATGGAGCACCCACTACCCAGTTGCAGCTAGGCATTCATTGCTACAAACGCCCGAGTACATATAATCGAAATCCCCTCCTCCCATCTGCTACCTTTGTTCAGTATCCCAACTTTGAATCCCATTCGACGCCCTCGGTGCTCTTGAGCCGTCTTTCGTTTCGTGTTTGTCTGTATCAGCAGCAGCAGAAAGGAGAGCCAGAGAGCAGCGGCAGCAGAGGCCTCTCCAAACACCTGTACCACGAGATTGCATTTCAGTGAGTCAGTTCCTTGTTTTTTTTGTGTGTTTTTCTTTCCTCCGTGCCCCCTCTTCCCGGTTGGTGGACGACGACTGTTTGCTATATCCTTGATATCATCGTTATCATTATCATTATTACTACTTCAATATCATCCTATTGAAGCAATAATGATAATAAACCGCCCTCCTGCTCTCCATCTTCCATCTTCCCGCTGCCTCTTATCAGCCATTTCCCTTCCATTTCTGCCTATCCGGCGTCGTCGATTTATTTTTATCTCTGTCGCCGCTCTTCGCCTGCACCTCCTCTCTTGCATGTTTTTTCCCACTACCACCCACTGGCCTGTCCACTCTCCCGCACTTAAACTAGCCCCCCCACAAGCGCTGTCTTAGCGCTGTTCTGATTCCCTGCCCTGCTCCCTCCTCTCGATTCCCGCACCAAACCCAACTCCCAGCCTTTTTGGCAGCGGCCCGTCTTATATCACTCGACCCTCCCGCACTCTGTGGTCTGCTCATCACCCTTCAACGCCTTGACGGCTTCATGACCTGCATTTGCTCTGCATTTCGCTGCTTCTTCGCCCTTCCCCTTTGGTCATAACCATCCATCGTTGTCACGAATCACCGCAATCACTGCCTACGCATGCTGCCTGTGGTCTTTCTTCATCTTGAACCCGCCTCACATCCGTCACAACAAATGAAAAGGCCGTCTTGATCGCCTTCGCTAACATCTCGTCTTTTGAGACTATCAGTATATCAGCATTTAACGACTACTGTGCTTTTGTTCTTCTTCATTTCAGTTCTTCTTATTTCCTCATTTCTTTTGCTTCTTCTTTTCTTTTTCTTCTCGGGTCGTCATTTTTCTTGTTCGGTTTTTGACGTCGACCTCTGCAACCTCTTCCCTCACTTTTCGGCCTTCACGCCGCTCCCACATAGCCACAAAAATTCGTCACAATGAACGGCTACTATTCAGCATCTATGGCTATGGATGCGAGCCAAGAGCAGAAGTTCTTCAAGGCAGAGGACAACGGCAGCTTAGACGACAGCCTTCTTGACCAGAGCGGCATTGATTCAGGACTGGATCTTTCTCCTCCCATGGACAGCAGGCGAGAGTCTTTCGGCATCGGAGGGCCTCTCTTCTCTCCCAAGACCGAAGATTGGCAATCTGTCGATATGCAGTCGCTGCCCTCCAACAACCCCTTCTACGAACCTCACAGCACCAACCCCTACATGCGCTTCGACCAGCCCTCAGCCAACCCATTCATCTCATCAGGCAATCCCTGGGCCATGAACGGAGGCTCAGGCGCGGCCACACCTTTCCAGCGCTTCGGTGGCATGGCGACTGATTTTGACGCCAACACTTCCATCTTCCAGCAGCCTATCCACGCTCCCACTCCGTTCCCCAACTCGGGCAACATGTTCGCCAACTTGGCTGATGGCCAGGCTATGCAAGATGGCCAGGCCGCTGCCAAGAAGATGCAAGATGGCAGCCCTGCTATTCGGTCGCACAATGATCTGCGACGCGGCGATGGCATCCGGAAGAAGAATGCTCGTTTCGAGATCCCCGCGGAGCGAAACTTGAGCAACATCGACCAGTTGATTGCCCAGTCTACGGATGAGCAGGAGATCAAGGAGCTTAAGCAACAGAAGCGACTGCTGCGAAATCGCCAAGCTGCGTAAGTACATTCATCAAAACTCCAAGACCCCTGCAGTAAAGCTAACCGGTTCTACTAGTCTCGACTCTCGACAGCGCAAGAAGCAGCACACTGAGCGCCTGGAGGATGAGAAAAAGCATTTCACCGTTGTCATCACTGACATGGAGGAGGAGCTTGCCACGCTCAAGGCCAAGGTTGAGCAGCTCACTCTCGAGAAGCAGCAGTGCGTCGAGTACATCGAGACCCTCGCGTTTGAGAAGGACGAGATGATCCGCACTCACACTATCGAGACTGGTGAGCTGAGGAAAAAGGTTGGTATCCTGACTGACCACGTCCAGCGCCTGGAGAGCAGCATCCCCCCTAACGCTGCTGCTAATGACTTCTCCGGCTCTTACGACGACATGGACATGGCCGGCGCCTGGGATAATGGCTTCCTCAACGACTTTACTGATGAGGTTAAGCCGCCCATGGCTATGGCCAAGAAGGACAACAACCCCTTCAACTCTGACAGCGAGAAGACCTCGTCCCAAGGAGGCTTGCTATTCATGCTCTTCCTTGTTGGCGCTTTTGTCTTGTCGAGCCGCTCGATGCCCTCCATCCCTCGCGTGTCTGAGGATGTCCGAGTTGCATCAGCGAATCTCCTCGACAACGTCTTCAAGGATGCCGGCGTCAGCGCCTCTCCCAGCATGCATGCCATTGCTCCCCAGCCTTCCGCTGCCACTTGGGGCCAGCCCGTTAGCGCTAGTGTGATGGCCGGCATGGCTGCTGATGGTGTTGTCGCACCGTCCATGCTTGTTGAGCTCGGCGATAGCCTTATGCAGCCCTCACAAGAGCAAACGAACGAGCAGATCTTCTCCCTCTCTGCTGCTCAGTATAACGGTGTTAGTGACCATGACTTTCTCCGCCCTGGCAGAATGCCCAGCAAGACTCGCAAGAACCTGGCCCAGGCTCTTGCTGAGCTGCGGGATAATGCTAAGCAGCTGGGTGCCGCTGAGGTATATACTCGCACTCTCCTTTGGGACCAGATCCCCAACGACGTCGTCCGAAACTTTGCCAGAATGGTTGTAGAATGCAACAGTGCTCAGAATGGACAGCAATGCAATGAGGCAAGATCATGAAAGAATTTTAAAAGACCCGGCGCGAAAGAAGAAAAAAAAAACGAAATCTCACGATGACGAATGAAAAAATGGCTACAGTAATGACGCAGAAACCGACTTCTCCACCCTTGCTCTATTTTGTCTTGGTTTATTTCATTTCTTTGGCAACCTTTGTTACTTTCTTATTCTTCTCTTCTTACAGCCATATCCGCGATCGGATGAGCTGGCCATTTTATTTGAGTTGCTCTGGGGCGGCTCCCCCCACATGCGCATTATTTGAGATTATTTGCTCACGCATTCACCAACATCTTCTTGAATTTGAACAAACCGCTTTCTCATGAAAATCATCTACTTTGGAGTCTTCCACGATTTCTTTGCGGATCTAGCGAGCGAGCAAGCGTTGCTTTTTATTGGCGATTGATTTTGATTTGGCTTCTTTTCATTGTGTTTTTCTTTTCTTTGTGTTAATATTTGGACGGCTTTTCAAACCTTATTACATGGTTTCTACCCTACTTTTTGGGACCCTTTCGACGATTGGCGAGATGGGACATAAGCAGACGCAGCAGCACTGCAAGCATGCTACAGGCCCCAGTCCGGTGCATGCTTGTACTACTTTTGAAAGGCATAGCTTTTCGGGTATTGGAAATCTAGGTGCGGGATGATACCTAGCGCCAAAAGAACGATTTCTACGAGGCATGTCGACACAGATTGATGACAGAATGGAATTCTACTTGATGATAACGAGGAAGAGCACCTGGAACGGGCACTTCTGAACGACACTCTTTTGAAAACCCACCATAGGGACAAGATATATCCCTAGATGGCTTTCCTTTGTACTTGGGCGGCATATTGGAAATAGTTTTTTTTTCTTTTACTTGGAAATAGCAGCCACGACGATGGCCTATTGGGTTTTGACGACATATTTTCTTTTCAGATAGCTTTTCAAATATGAAAGCGGACAAAATGGTCCAGCTTTACTTTACATTCATCATGATTCCCGTCTTTCTCATTTCCAGTTCTGTGACTGCTTCTAAATCCGCCTGTACGACTCCCCTATACTCGGGTGCCTTGCGCCTTTGTGTGCCTACTAGAGGGCTAATAACAAACAACGTCCTTACCCGAGCCGCGAGGCGCAACACAAGTATTTCTTGCTACGTAAAGTTTGCAGACTGACCCGGCCATCTGCCACTTACGCATAGCGTCCATCCTGGTATCATACTTCCATGGATACTACAGCCCCGTGCTATCACCGCCAAAGCATAGTACCTGGGGCAGAGACGACGAAAACAAAGGGGTGGGGTGCGTGAGACAGACCTGGAAGCGATGTGATGCAAAGCGGCCATGCACTGGTTGTGGCTTGTCTTGGACTGAAGGGGGGGCCAGATATTGGGTTGACATCACACCGCCAACGAGGCAGAGGCTTTTTAGTTGCTTCTAGTCTAGGACTTGAAGGTTGGAGAAGCTGCAGGCCTAAGCCCTTTCCGGGAGGGTTGTGTCTCTTTGATGGAGGGATAGGACGAGATGTCCATGAAAAAGCGTCCAAGTAGAGCCAAGGTGCCATGCGCCTGCCGTGGCCACGGTGCTACTACTACCTCCGCGTCGTATTTGCTATGGGCTCTATTCTACCTAAATTGCGCGGAGCGTCATGGCTGATGTTTTTCTCATGCTGGCTATTACCAGGCAGAACAGGGCGTGGCTGGCTGATACGCTGATCATTTGGCTTGTGTTGAAGGGAGAGAAGGCATCACGAGATAACTACTACCTAGGTACTAGGTAGAAGATACATTTTACGCAGTAGGTACCTTGGTAAGTTTGGGCCTGGAAAGAGTCGCCTAACATGGCACCTTCCTAATACTCCAAATACTTGCCATCGACGCAACTTCCCGGAAGTGAACAAGCAAACAATGGAATTAACAATTAATAATATTTTTCTCTCTGCTGAGTCGATCCAAGCCAAGGCGCCTCTCTCCTCCCATCTCTCCTCTCCATTCTTCCATCCTCCACTTCCACCTCCACCTCCACCTCCCTGCCTTTTTCTTCCATCCTGCATGCCATCCATCTCCCTCATTCGTCATAATTAGTACTAGCCCGCCAGCTGCATCCACCAATCGGCGAGCTATTCTTCATCTGCAAGAACTGATCATCTGCTCTGATCTCAGCCAATGCCATCTCAGGGTGGTCACAAACTCGGTTTTGGCGAAATAGATGAAACAGCCACACACGCTGCCAATGCGTACACGCGCACATTTATCCGCTCACACGCACACATTATCCAGACGCATCCGCTTTAGTGCGGACGAATAACAGCACTTGATGCGCCTCTAGAAGAGAGGGCTGGCTCTCTAGCCCCTTGGGCCATGTTTTCTGTTGCTCTATTCCTGGCTCTTCCCGTCTTCCGTCTTGTTGACACGCCAAACGCCATGCTACGCCACGCCGCTACACCCCTCGGGCCGATCCTGTTGGCCGTGAGGCTAGAAAGCTCTTTGACTCAAAGCCACGCTGCCACGAAGGCCCCAAGGTACCATGATGCCAAAGCACCAATTATCATTGTGCCCTGCTATGAGCGTGCTGCTATAATGGGCGACGGGCAGTCAGTCAGTCACATCTCTCCTACATACATACTAGCCTACCTACTTCTAAGTGAGTGATGCATATACGCATACCTGCATACATACACACATAGCGCATGTACAAATAAACGCACGTACATGCATCTTGCATGCTTCGTACAGAAGCTTTACCTGTCAAGAGCCAATTATACTAACAAGTCGTCTTGGTCCCTTACAGCTCCAGCAGTCATGCCACCTCCGCTACGAATTCCCCCCTACCCGGAACTATTAAGTGAGTGCCTGAAAGCCTCATCAACTGCTAGTCCCGGATTTCAATGCCGTAAATGACTCGAGAATTGATACCCAAAACCCAATGACCATTCATAAGCAAATTTTCAATGGCGAGAAAGCGAGAAAGCGAGGGAAAAAAAAAAAAAAAAAAAAACTCAGAAGAGCAAGGCTCAGCAGCCCACCCGTACTAGGCCTCGATATATGGCCAACTCCACAACAACAGACAAGTCGTTTTCTCTTCCAGCCAATCTAGTTGCGACAGCTGAACAACACATACATACGTGCCCGCCTACATACGTACATCATGTACATGCCTGCACGCATGCGTAAATGCCACCTGCATGCGCAATCAGGCATCAAAACGATCCTCCCGGCTAGGGCAAAGCTGGTAAAAGAGCCGCTGCACCAAGGCATCGCCAGACCTATAATCCCATTTACACCAATTCTCCGAGCCACATCTGCAGCTTTCTCCTCTGCTCTCCTCTTTTCATGCTAAGTAAGCCCATGAGAATTTAGCTAAGTGAGTTATCAGCTGGGTGCTGCTCCTTTAGTGGCTACGAACATGCTTCGCGAACACACGATAGACATACAGTTGCAGGGCACAGTGCCTTACAGCCATATATGCTCGGACATTTACATTTCATATACACAACCAGACATCCTACATACATTCAAATATACATGCCGTAATCGCCGTTATATGAGCCGCTCACAACGCCTAAGTTATACCACGCCTGTGCTGCAGATGATACAGCAGCGGCACCCCGCAAATGTGAACCACAGGCCGCAGGATGGGTCACAACGCTGTCTCTTTACTCGCTGATTAGAGAGCCACCTAGTGGGCACGGAACGCAACAGCAAGAAAGAAAGGAAGAAAAAAGTCCCTGGACCACTTTCGATATCTCGTAAAGGCCGCGGGAGAAGAGAAATAAGGGGAAAAGGTAATGAAGCTTAGAGGTGGAAAGCGCTATTGAGCTCCATCGAGCGAATGCGATCTGCTTGCCTGTGACCCCCCCTTACTTCTTCTTACCGTTGCCGGGATCGTACTTTTCTTTCCATATCCTACAGACGCGTTAGCCATTGACTCGTCTTTGGGGCATTTTTGCCTTCCAGCTGGGGCTGGACTGTGTAGCACATCACAACTCTGCGGAGCTCCTGGCTACAATCGTGAGACTGCACATATTCTGGGCGGAACAATTTGAGCAAGCTGCACGAATAAATCTTGAGCGAAGCCCAGTCACTCGGAAGTGATGCATCACAGTACACAGAGTGACACCCACAGCTGACACGACGGATGAGTATGGGTGCGTTTTGATAACTTACCATGAATTTCCTAGTGTCTTATTGCCAGCTTTCTCCGCCAGTCGATAGTACCGGGCTGCAGCATACTGTACTCCCAAGTAAGGATTCAAACATCAGCCTCATGTGACGGACCAGTATCTGTGGAGAGGGGGAGCACGACCAGTGGCCGTGCCATTTTCTGCTGGGCTTGCGCAACTTGCGCCTCCTTGCTTGACCTCTCTTGCCTCATCGGTACCCAAATCTGGGCCTGGTGAGTCGTTGGGCATCAACTCCGCCTTTGTCAGCGCAGAAACGAAGCCAGAGCCAGCCAGACTAATGACTGGCAAGCCACAGTCTACCTGCAGTGCTGCTGGCCCCGGTTGAGGCTTGATCTCTTTGTTGTTGTCATCGAGGAGGCGAAGCTATGTCATCGATATCTTGACTAATCGCAAACGTACCTTATCCTTTTTACAGCCATAGCCCTCCAGGTAACACCAGGCAACTTCGTTCATAGCGTCTTGGCGCCCCGTCAGCATTCGAGCATATATCCGCTTCTACAGGTGCATCTCATAACTCACCAGAATCGCCCAAGTTCGCTGCTGTCTCATAGTACTGTTTCCCCCGCGGTTCAGTATCTAATCAGATCAGCCGACCCCTAAAGAGGGAATGAATACATACCTGCTTTGCGGCGATTGGATCTTTTCCGATGCCCCAGCCGTGGCGGAAGCAGTTTGCCAATTCGAAGATGGCGAGGACTAGCTCCCCCTTTGCCGCTCCTCCCTTCTTCAGACCAGCCTGGATCGCCAATTGTTCGACTGATGCAGCATTAGAGGCTGCTGCCGTTAGATAGTGGACCGCTCTCCCAGGGTCTGGCGTGCAACCCCAACCGTGTCTGTTAGAAGAAAGCATAGCGATTAGTCCGGAGCTTTTCTTCATCTTCCTTGTTTCAATTGCCTAGTAATCATATGACAGTCATGTCACGTAAATCAATGGGATGTGATATATGAGAGCGTGCTCAAAGGGGACAAATGCGGGCTGAGCCGTGTCTCTCAGGATTCACCGGCGGCAAGCAGCATATCGCCACCGCGTGATAGGAGTGAAAGGGCAAATTGGAATCCGGCGATGGTAACACTCACCTGAGTGCTAGTCCATAGAGGACCTGGCTAAGTGGATTATTGGCGCCGCTCTCATCTGCAAGGCGCCCGAATAACTTGGTGGCTTCCACATAGTTACCATCCTCATGCAGTCGAATCGCCTCCTGAATATCGGCATCGATCTGTTTGGACGAAACTTGTCCCGAGTGCACCGAAGCGCTTCGGCTGCGAGGGCCGTCTAGACTCATGTGCGCCATGCCGTCTGCGGCATCCCTTGAAGGCGGCCGACTCCTCACCCGATCATTCTGCCCGGCTAACATGGTCGCCCGTTTCTCCCACTGCAGCTCTGCAGCATCTCTATCCTGCACGTCGTTTGGGACCACAATCTCCGGTAGGTTCTGGGGCACATGGTCAGAGGTCTCAGGCGCGCGACTTAGGTGTAGCCTATGGGAGAGGCGTCTTGCCGCGCTCTCCTTCTTGGACTTCTGACTGGTCGAGGAGGATGCAGATGGGCTTCGTGATTGATCCGAGTGGAAAAAGTCAAAGCTTCGCCTCGACTTTCGGTGCTCTCCGCTTGTTGACGAGGGCGATAGCAAGCCGTCATTGTAGCCCAGGGCGTTTTCGTCCGGCGGCACAATCACCTGTTGCGAAACAGTGTCGGAGCGAATAAAAGTGATGTCCGGACCGGCCAATCTTGCATCTGCATCCTGGCCTTGCTCTATAGCGTCCTTCTTCTTCAGTGCGTCTCGGAGCCCCATGGTTGTGGAGAAGTAGCTGTAAGTGAATTTCTTTCCCCCTCTGCTATTAATTTGATTCAAAGCAGGAAATAAGAACAAGCGAGACGCAACAACAGCAGCACCAAAGCTTTGTATATCCCCGTAGTAGTGATGATGTGAATGAGCTAGCCAGTGATGCTTAGCCCTCGTTTGTCTGCTACCCAAAATAGATCTTCCCCCAGACAGCAAGTACCAGCTGTTCTACGTCGTAAGAGATGAGTACAGGCGATATAGAGGTGGACGAAGGCAGTCAAGCTGTGGCTGAGGCTGAGCTGAGCTGAGCTGATGCAAGTACTTTTGTAGCCACCGATATGCGGGCAGTGTCCCCTGTAGCGCCGTATTACAGCGCGAGTGCTTTCCAAGCCTTGTCTCAACGCCTTTTGAAACGAGGTCACGGAGAGGCAGATAACCAAAGCGTCGTAGCAAGAACAAAGAATTCTCGAGTTTCCCGCGCGGCAAAGAAAGAAGAAAGTCACGCGCTGCTAGGCGCTGTTGTGAACAATTGATGGATGAGGTTAAAAAAAGGCCAGGCGCCGTCCCTTTTTGAAACAGGGCCGTTTCGCCGCCCCCCTCCAAAATTCCGCATTATGGAGTCGAGAGGTGGTATTCTAGGATTGCTCCAAGTCGCCTGTTCCTTGGCACAAACTGGGCGCCGCGACACTAATGTTCCCGTATTTTTTAAGCACTGGAGATGATGGGCCCGAGCAAGACAAGGGGCTGAGTGCGCTTGCTGGGGAGATGAAGATGAAGAAGGCGGTTTTGGGAATAAAATAAAACAAGAACTGCCTGCCTAACCCCAGCTAAGGTTATTGTTCGTTATATTGCTGCTCGATTTTATTTCCTCTATGAATTCTCCAGGGGGAAGCGCTGTGGGACGGCCCTATCTGGGCTATTTTGGGACGCCGATCAGTGATCTCTTTTAGAGGGCTGCCTTCGCTAAATACCTGGTAGGTATGGGGATGCAGGACAGGGGTAATGGCGTATTCGATTAATAAGGGGGCGAGAATAATAGAATCATCCATTTTGCGGTTTGATGGCACGATAATAATATCATGGAATGAGTGTTTACTTTAGTTGGTCATTCTAGAGAGTGTTTTTCGAGAAAGGCAGACAGAGCATAAGTAGGACTTTTCTCATTGCAGGAGAACAAATTTATGATCCTAGTGATTTTTCTTATTCTTCGTTTACTTGATTTTTTTTTCTCAATCTTTTTATCCTCTTTCCTTTACGAACATGTATTTTTCTTTCCTGACAATAAAGTCTTCTCTTCCCTTTATTCTTTTTCTCTTCCTTTTCTCTCTCGGCATTGTAATCATCGTTTTATTTGCACCTCTGCAGCTGTTAAAGGAGGAGAAGAAAACATGATGTTAAAATGCTGAATAAAAGGGTATCTTAGTATAAAGCCCACCCCCAGCCGACAAGAGCGTCATGTCTCGTCGTAGAATTTACTGCTTGCTAAATTAAATTAAAAAAAAAAAAAACAAGAATAAAAAGCATAGCATGTAGTCTCCAAAAAAAGTTGAAGGTATGAAACTGCAGAGGCGCTGAATAGTGAACGATTCGACATATCCAAGGACGATGGCCGTCTAATCTACTTTGACTCGGTTAAAGGGGGAGATAGTCCTTTGGGTTGTCAAAGTCAGAGTCATCGGAATCGCCCTCGAGGAACTCGGCCACTTCGTCAGAATCGACATCGTCAGAATCGACTGACTCATCTTCGCTGGAGACATCCTGGGCCTCGTCGCGCTGTTTGGCCTGGTTTCGGAGGACGCTTGCCCTCTCACGATGGAGCAGCTTACATCCTCTGGTTTTACAGATACCGGTATTGCTGAAGTCTGGGCATTCAAAGACGTGGCGATCGGTGCAGTCTGCACCCTTGTCACAGTATCCACAGAAGCCAAATGCCGCACACACGGGGGCACTTGGGGAGGCTTTGGAGTGAGTAAAGGGACAGTCAGGCCGGGAGCATTGTCCTTTGGCAAAGTGCAAACAATTCGGGACACGTTCTGGGGTAAGCTCATGAGAGAGATCGCAAGACTCGCCGTTGGGACACTTGCCGTCTTTCAAGAAATCCTTGCAAAGAGCCACCTTGTCGGGGTCATGAACGTATCGGCAGGCTGGGCCTTTTGAACAGGAACCTAAAAGTCACAAGTTAATGGTTAGTTGACTTCCCCATCTACGCCACTATCTCGTAGGTCTGTAGCTTATTCGGCTGTTGTATTATAAGAAAACAATTACCAGTCGTTGAAAAGATTTTGCATCGTTGATCAAGTTTTTTGACCGTACCGGATCGACTGCTTGCGTTAGTATCGTGACTGTCTTTGAGACGTGAACATACCGGTGATCTTTGACTATCCTCTGCGCCACAAGATTTCCAGTCTTTGTACGATGGAACTTGACACCAGCAATGACAGTCATCTTTGGCGTCATATTAGGGGGGGAAGGGTCACCTAGTAACGATTAATAACAGTACTAACGGTAATTAAAAAAAAAAAAAAAAAAAGAGCAGTGACAAAATTTACCGAGCGTCTTAACAAGTTTTTTCCCTCCATCTAAGACGCGGAAGCGAATACCGTTGACCGTTATTTCATTCGTCACTGCGGGATTAGTGCTTGTGCTTGGAAATCCGTCCACTGTGGCCTGGTGGCGAAGGTATTCGCTAAATCGCTGCTTCTCCCGGCGCTTCTGCTCTTGAATTCTTCTCTGGCGAGTCTCTTCGATAGCCTTGGCCCGATTTTGGCTTTCTTTCTCATATATATTAGCGTTTATGAGCTGGCGGTGGCGATCGTTTTTGGTCACCCAGCCCGGTGTCGTAGGAGCAGGGCTGGGGGCGGCCGAGCTGGAGGCAGACCCTGAAGCAGATGCCGAAGCGTTGAGATGCAGTGTTCTGTTGCGGTGTGTGGCGGCTGGCCGGCCGCTGTAGCCTCTGGTCGGATAAGGCGCGCTTGCTTGACGATACGCATTTCCTTCATCCAATGTCAGTTATGCTGCGATGCTGTCTTCCAAGCACTTTCTTAGTAGAACAAACCTCGATGACGCCCAGGGTGATGGGATGGCGGGACGGAGCGGTAGTTGGCTTGCTGACTTTTGTGTCGATTAATTTGGCCTAGAATAGTAAGTGCTATGAAGTCATCGCGAGATCCCCAAGAGCCTTACCAGCGAGTTGACCGATGCGCGCCAACAGCTCTTTGTCTTCGTCTGACATGTTGGCTATTGGTCGTTTCCGGATCGCGAGTTATATGCCTAGTACAGTATTAAGATCCTCAAGGGTATGGAAGATTTGTGTGCACTGATAGTAGCTCAGTGCAGTAAATTATGTAAGGTCAAAGAAATGCAAGGCTACTCAGTGGCGGCTGACGATGAGACATAGATAAGAGCTCGCTTGACTAGCAGCGAGCTTAGTCATCAACGCGCGCTCCACGTCGTCGCAGTGATGCGAGGCTGAGGGAAACAAACTCGAATGCCTAATACTGGTAACAGACTTAATCTAACAGCCATTAAATACGCCAAAACTTGAGCACGGGCTTTTATAATTTGTTTTCTTGTTTCCGAAATAGCAGCTCTGTCGTTAATAGCAAGAAATTTACGCATAATCAGCATTCGTCACCCCAACTCTCGGTCCTAGCAATGTCTTCGTGGGATCTGCTAGACGAAAAAGGCGAATCCGAGCTTCACAAGAGCCGGCTCCTCAACGTAGAGGAGAAACCTTTCAAACGCATCACCAAACGACTCTCCTCTATTTCTGCGATAGTTTCCAGTGCTATACAGTCTGATGCTACAAACCAAAACGGAGGCCAGACCTCGAGCAGCGCCCAGTTACAAGAAGATCTCACATTCGATTTTGCTGCCTTTGACAGCAGCATCGCCCGATTCCAATTCCTTCACGATGCGAACGAGCGAGAACGGGAGCGCTACGAGGCAGACAAGCAGCGTATCCTTGCTGAATGCCAGGCGGCTCGCGAAAACAACGCGCGACTCCGAGAACAATTAGAAGATGCTAAAGCAACTTTGGCGCGGCGGAAGAAATTCGACGAGTTGGCCGAGAAGATATTGTCTAATCGACTGCTACGGCCGCGTGAAGACCAGCTCGTTGCCCTTGAGAAACTAGAAGAAGAATGCAAAGAGCTGGAGCGCGAAAGTGAAACATACAGCGGCACATGGAAGGAACGAAGAGACCAGTTCAACAGGATCATGGAGGAGGGAATGCTGCTGAGGCGGCAGATTAGAGATGAGAAGGAAGAAGTGGACAGAAGAGAGGGAATGAATGAAGGTGGAGATGACGAAGTAGAGGAGCAGCGAGAAGGCCAAACACCCGGCGTTAACCCCAGCAGCACCGAAACACCACGACCTGATGGTGAAGGGCAATTGAACGAGACAACGCCCCATCCAGCAATATCCGTGGACGGCCCAACGCCATCAGCGGACTCGCCCCGTCCAGATCAGCTCCGGCTTTCGTCTACAGATGCCGCATCGGCTTCTCGGTTAGGAAGCAGGGCTTCTACTAGGGAAGTGTCACAGCCCCCGCAGCGTGGTCGCGACTCAGGGAGCGAAACAGGCGAAGATGTTGATATGGGAGATGAAGAGTCGGGGAATGAAGAAGGCGAGGAGGATGAGGATGAATACAAATCGTCAGCGAGGAACGGTGACAAGATGGAGGTTGATAACTAGTTTTTGGACTACTGGCATGAACATTACTTTTTAAGATGGATAGAATATTTGTATAATTAGGATACCCGGATCAAATAAAAAGAAGAACAAGGAGTATCTTTTTGTCGACGCTATTGCCAACGAGATCCCGATGGTGTGATCCGCCAGCGTGGATGATGTTTAATTGTATCGTGGTATATTATTTATGAATCTTCCTCTTTCTCCAGACTGTATTCTCTTCAAGATGTCTCCGCCTTCGCCTTCTCCAGTGCCGCCTTCGCATTCGCCAACTCCTCTGGCGTAGCCGTCTCGTTCTTCTCTTCGGACGCAGCAAGATCTTCCAATTTCTCGACGGCCGCCAGGATTCGGGCTCTCAGGGGCTTAAACACGGCCTTGGTCTGCTCGACAACCATTTGCTAGAAAGGAACAAAACGCAAAAGCGCCCATCGTTAGCCCTAACAAGGAGTCATCATGTTATACGGCCCAACACCCACCTGTTGCTTCAAAATGTACGTCGCATTGCCATCCTCGTCCTCCTGTCCGCTCTTGATTTTCTCTTCCTGAGCCTTGACCTGAGCCTCCTGCTCCTCGAGCTCCTTGTGGTAGGATGCTTCTTCTTTCAGGAGGCGGTTGACGGCACCGGTTGCGATGACTAGGGGAGATGGAGGCGGCATGGTGGATGGATCGGAAGAAGAGATATCGTTCGAACGCGTCTTGGTAGATGGAGCGGAGAGAGAAGAAGTAGAGAGGAGAGCTGGAAGAAGCTTTATAATGTAAAGGCACAGGATATTGTCAAGAGTCAAGGATTATTCCGAGCTGCCTGCTCGAAGTTGGTTTTCATGCGTGCCTAGCAGGCAGATAGATTGATCCCTATCTTAGCTACGTGGGGTTGATGGCGGGGCAGCACCGCGTTTGGCTACAGTGAGCACCAGGTCTCCAAAAACGGCACAAGCATCAAGGAGTAGCTAAGCGGCAATATAGAATCAATGCGCCGAATTCCCAACAATACCTAAAATAAAAGCAAGGCCAAATGCTCCTCTTAAGTGTCAGTCATGAAAAAGGCACTTAGGAATAAACAATATCAAATCGTGGGCATCAGTTTCACGGGCCTGTATACAGTTGCTAGCAAAGTTGATTTCGTTCAATATTCAATAATCTCCTAGAACATCCCTTTTCTAAACACAGCTAGCAGAATACAAAAAAAGGAACACTAGTGTAAAAAAGGCTTGTCTTGTTTCGGCATCCAAGGCGCGATTATCCTTTTCCCTCCTTCCTGTATCCTAATTTAGAGAACCTCCAAGATCACATGGTATCTCCCCAAACGCCTTCAACTCCGCCGTGGGCCATTCGAACAAAAACAAAACCTTTCATTGCCCAGAATGCACAGCATAGTATTTTACATACACGAAACATGATGTGTTTTTTTTTGGTCGTGGTCAAGCAGCCGATTATGCCTCGACAGCAACCGCCGCAACACTGACGGGAGCGGCGGACTCAGGCTCATCCTGGTTGGAGATCTCGCCTCCAGCTTCTCGCTCGGCCCAAGCGCCCCAAAGCCCGCGCTTTCCTCGGACTTTGATGGGGTCGCCAAGGCCTGAGGTCTGCTCTACCTTGATGGCATCCTTGGTAGCAAGCACCAGGCACTCAAAGAACATCTTGGTTGCTTCGGCCTTGGTGGTTTCCTTCTCGGGCAGCAAGTTTTGGAAGACAACTGCTGATTTCTTCCTCTTGTCCGCATTCTCAGCGGCATCAGGGCCGAATAATTCTCGGAGAATGTGGACAGCATGCTTGGTACCAGCGGACACAGCGCCGCTGTCAGCAGGGTGAATAAGAGGCATTGTTGTGTCTTCGAAGGCAGGCATTGGGCTACCTTCTCTGTCCGCGTGATCGTCGTCAAAGTGAGCTGCAGATTCGTCTGCAGGAATCTCAAGAATGGTGCCATCGGCGGCCACGCTGTTGTTACCGAAAGCGTTTCCGTCTAGGGTAAAATCGGTGTCGTCTCCCAGCTCAAGGCGAGGCGATTTGAGGCCACCCAATTCGCTGTCCACGTCGGCAACGCCACTGTCACGCTTTCGCTTCAGATCATTCGCACCGCGAACCATGTCCAATGAAAGCATGCCACGAAGTTCAGGTGCCCACGACAAGCTTCTACCCTCCATCATGATGGAAGATACAAAACCGCCACTCTTTTGCATTTCTGCGAGCGCAAGAAGCAAAGGATCGCGGGGGAGGAATGTAGCTGGCTTGGTGATATTTTCTCTGTGGGCCTGCTGTTGTTTGATGTGAGTGCTGGACAGGGCAATTTCATCATCTGGCATCATGATACGTTGCTTCCTAGCACGCTGTGCAGGCTTTTGGACAAGGGTGCTCTCCTCGTCGTCTTGGGGCTCGTAGAGATCTGTGTGGCCATGGCGAGAATACTCCTCCTCAATTTCTTTAGCAAACTGATCGTCAATATCTGATAGAGGAGATTCCGAAATTCTCTGTCGGTTGATGTCAAGCGCAGCCAGTTCGGGAATGCCGGACGCATCACCAGGGTTGAACTGGAAATCGTCATCGCCCATCTGGATATCGCCCTCGTCATCTGCAATCCTCACGGTACCGTCCACATCCATGCGAGTAGTGTCGTCAGGGCCAGCGCCCTCTTTTGATCGGGGCATGATATCAAGTTCGCTGAAGACATCATCTTCGATTGACCGCGCTGCGGGGGCATCTCGGCCCATTTCCATGCTTGGGCCACCATCCATATCAAGACCAAAGTCGAGCTCGAGCTCAAGATCATCCATTGGCGCAAGTGCGTCTTCATCTAGAGTCATGCCGCCTTGGAGAAACTGGCTGTTGTCGAAATCTTCCTGCAAGTTGATGTCTCGAGTGTTGCTCACGCGTCCCTTCCTGCCGACTTGGGTAGACGACACATCATCAACTTGAGAAAGTAGCCACGAGGCATCAGGCGGCGGAGGTAGTTCGAGGTTATCATATGGCGTGATACGATCGGGGAGAAGCAAAGACTCGCGATTGGTGATTTGCAAGTTGGCAGCCAGGTCATTGTTACCAGTGGAGCGGAAGGCCTAAAGGCAATTAGCATGATGTTTACAATTGGTAGAGTGAATGAGCAAAAAGAAACAAAGAGGCACTAACCATTTTAATCTTCATCATAGCTTCGTTACAATCATCTAGCAAATATCGCGTTTTGCGCTGGTATATCCTGACAACACCAAGCAAAAGCTGTCCACTGAGTCGCAGGGCCATCGGCGCCTGGTTCGGCGTGATGATGGCCTCGACGCTGTCGGTGACATTAGATTGGAGAATGTGATTCTTGGAGAGCTTGCGCTCGAGGTTGGCAGACAGCCAGACACGGGCAAGAGGCCCGGTCTTCTGGAGGAGTGTCTCTGAATAGAACATGATGCTTGCGCGCGAAGCCTGTCGCACTGGCACTCGCGCTCAACCAAGCTGATACTCGAAGAAAAAAAAAAATATGCAAAAGCTCAGCCAGCCAGTGAAATGGTGTAGGCAGCGCAGCAGTGGAGGGGAATAAGAGCTTGGAGCAAAGTGGAGGTGAGTAAACACGAACAAGGGGTGCGCGTTTTGGTGGATAAACAAGTCGCCTAAACCGTGTTCGGGCCTGGCTCACGCGCGACGGTGGCCGCGCAAAATCATCAAGTCAAAAAAGCAAGTCGCCAAGGGCTGGAATACCGGATCGCAGGCGACGAGAAGCGAGAAGAGGGAGGCGACGGGGGGTGATGGGAAGTGCAAAAATGACGAGGCGAGAGCAGAGGGTTGTGTGAAACTCTCAGGTTGGAGCGCGGAGGGGAGACACTGCGGCGGCAATGCTAAATTGCGTGGCTGGGAGAAAAGTGGCTGGTACCGACGAGAGCTTGCTGCCTGCGTCCATTTCGGCGTAGCGAGACCGGGACATTATTCTTCCGGCGCTTCTGCACGTTTTCCGCCCATCGGAAATCGGCGGGAGTGCCACCTTGCTTACCGCTTTGGGCAGTAGCGCAGTGAGCCAAATGCTACTGCAGTACAGGCTACTTACTGTACAAGCACTGAATTGCAACCCCATGGTGCAGGCTCTGGGTAGCTCCTCAGCAAGCTATCTGCAGTATTGCTCGTCATTATACATACCAGGGTATCATCATTATAGAGCTAGGTCATCGTCTCTATTCATTACGTAGAGGTAAACCGCTATATCCAATTATCATTTATAGTAACGCACATTTACAAGCGGTTTCGAGTGTCCAGTAGCGGGGTTATCGGCAAATGCTATAAGGTCCTCGGCTCTGCTACAGTTAAACTGTCTACAATCTGCGAAATCTTCAATGCACTTACACGATGATTACACTAAACACGATTCTATAAGAGCTATGTGCCACCTCTAATGCTGCATTCATCTTGCGAATAACACCGCATGTCCATCATTTCATCATTGTGCGCATATAAGTGAGTGTCCAGGTACATGCGGTGCTTTACTCATTGTTGTTGAAACATGGCGAATGCCCGAGGTTTGTCATTTATATCCTGACACATGCCGCTTTTTATTCCGGCACCTGTGGCTGGAGATCTGCATGTCCCATCAGGTACAAAGTACTCCTGTATTGAGCATGGCGCTTTGTTTTTCTGAAAGCGACAGCAGTATTTGCATCACTTCTAGGTACTATCTAGGTAAATGGAGCACCCATCTTTGTTTCCACAAAGAGGGGCCCCATGCTCATCTTCACTCCAAATCTAGAGGTTTCTAGTCTAGTATTTCTAGAATAGATGGATAATACTTGCTACAACGCACCTTCAGAGCACGGGTAAAAAAAAAAAAGGGCTGTTCCGTATTATATTAGTCTTTGCCTATTGATTCCTCATAATGTATAGCGGCAGACATTTGCCAGCGTGATTACATGTATGAGTATTACTTAGCCTTGGAGTAACACATCGCCCGAATATCTATCTGGCAAGATATAAACTTCTTTCCGTCTTCTCGCCTCGTAGTTTATTCTTCCTACTCGCCCCACCTAATACTATAGTTCATACATAGTATGTTCAACTAGCAGCGTTTAGAATACTCTTAGTAGCAGTACTAGTCACAGTAGCCGCAATGCCGTTCAGGAGGCATGGCGAGCGAATGAAAAACGGACATTGGCATTGAGCGGGCTGATTGCTCTAAAATATGATATAATACAGTCACAATCATTGTTATCTTGAGTTTTTGTATTTCACCTGGCGGCATTGGACTGGGTTTCTAAGGAGTAATACTGGCCGTGTTAAGACCCAAAGCTTGGCTGGTCGTTGCAGCCAGTAGCCATCGGCGTCAGGCGCAAAGTCGGAGGGCTGCAGGGCCTTGGGCCGCGTAGCCCCAACTTAGCCGTGGCGCCGCTAGGCTAAAACAGAGAGTTACTTCGCGCTGCCAGTACCTGCAGCCCCCTGTAGTGCTCCTTGTCCCCAGTCCCAGTGGCGAGGCTAGCGCAACTACCCATTCCATAGAGCCTTGGAAGAACACCTTTGTAATTTTGCATGATTCCAGGTTCCATTGCTGATGCTTCACCGGTCTGCACGTTGGCCTCTTGATTAGGGGATGAAGATCGTAGCCGTCGGTGTCTGCTGGAAAAAAAGATCTGGTTCATCACAACAACGCCGCTTTCCGATCTCGACAACGTATGCGCCAGAGCCGACTTCCGCGCATTCGGCCGTCTCCCCTCTCCTCATGAAATCCGGCTTTTGATAAAAGCTTGGCGTTGATTTCCGGGCCCCTGAACAACTTCGACGCCATCTCAGGGACTACAATATGCAGCTGCCGTGGGCAGGGCGCGGCGGCTCTGGCAATGAGTCTCTGCTGCCAATGGCCAACTTGCCCATCATCACTGGGGATGCGGCCGATAGCGATCGAGAGGGAAGATCAGGATCAAGGCTAGGACATGCCCGGACATCCTCTGCGCATGCGCGGGTAAGGCTGAAGAAACCATGTGCGTTTGTTATGATGCGATTCATTAACGAGATGGCAGGGCGTCGCCAAAGAATACTCCTTCATGACACCCAGCGAAGCTGCTGCGCAGTTGCGGACGTCCCTCACTTACGGTCTAACGCCTAACGAAGCCTTGAAGCGACTCGGCGAACATGGACCGAATGAGATACCTCACGAAGAACCAGAGCCTCTGTGGCTCCGCTTTGCGAAGCAGTTTCAGGAGCCGTTGATTGTACTCCTTCTGGTATCCGCGGGAACCTCGTTACTCTTGGGCAACACGGACGATGCGGTAAGTATCACGGTGGCGGTGACCATTGTCGTCTCCGTGGGTTTTATCCAGGAGTATCGTTCGGAAAAATCTATCGAGGCCCTCAACCACCTAGTTCCGAATCACGCACACCTTGTACGAGGCTCACCGAATAAGTCGGCTGCCATGCCGAAAAGTTCCCCGTGGCCCCCTAATATCAACGAACTTCGAGACCCGGCCGATAGCTCTGGTTTTATGACCCCAATCGAAGACATCTTGGACGCTACTTCTTTCAGGGTGTCGGCATCTCAGCTTGTACCGGGCGATTTGGTCCTATTTACTACCGGCGATCGAATTCCTGCAGATATACGGGTTACCAAGGCGGCTGACTTGACCATTGATGTGTCCAATCTAACAGGTGAAACGAAGCCTATCAGTATATCAACTGAGTCGCGGTCTCAAGGACTCAACCAATTCTCGAAGCAGTCACTCGCCCCAGCCACGCCTTTGGACGGCAGCGAGACGGAGGGCAGTGGCATAAGGAATATTGCATACATGGGCACGCTGGTTAAATCAGGACACGGCCAGGGAATTGTCTTCGCAACCGGTGGGAGCACTCACTTCGGCTCCATTGCCACAAGCGTTTCTGGAACGGAAAATCCTAGGTCGCCTCTGCAGCTATCGATGGACGAGCTTGGTACACAGCTGAGCAAGGCATCATTTGTCGTAATTGGTCTGATATCGCTTGTTGGTTGGCTACAAGGGAAAAAACTACTGGAAATATTCACCATTTCTATATCCTTGGCCGTTGCAGCTATCCCAGAAGGCTTACCCATTATTGTTACCGTTACTTTGGCTCTTGGCGTACACCGGATGGCGAAGCATCATGCCATCGTACGCTGGATGCCCAAAGTTGAAACCCTTGGATCTGTTAATGTCGTGTGTACTGACAAGACGGGTAAGTTTTATGCCTTGATCCACTTCAGCCACAGCTGTCGCATATACTAAATTGCTGAAAATAGGTACTCTAACAACTAATCATATGACAACTGTCGAGATGTGGTGCTTTGGAGAACAGGGTCCGTTTCACGTGTCTTCGGACGCTGAGGTAGAAGAGATCAAGCCCACCCAGGCGGCTTTACATATCCTACGAATTGGAAATGTCGCTAACAACGCACGCCTGGCAAAGAATTTTGCGGAGAGTGGCGCCGCTGCAAGTGCTGTCTTGACCTCAACTCTCAGTCGCGAAGAAGCATCTACCTATACTCGATGGGTTGGCCAGCCTACGGATGTGGCTATGCTCGACTTGCTTGATAAATTTAAAGAGCACGACATACGAGATTCGGTCGGGCCACGCGTCACAGAAGTGCCCTTTAGCTCTGAGAGGAAATGGATGGGTGTTACCATCGGAAGTGAAAAAGAGTACGCATATATGAAGGGATCTATTGAGAAGGTCCTCGCCGCATGTGACACCTATTTGGAAAAGGATGGCCGGGAAATTGTACTGGACACTGCACGGCGTCAGGAGGCTTTGGCAGCGGCCGAAGCCATGGCCGTCAAGGGACTTCGAGTTCTCGCCTTTGCCAGTGGTCAAGTTTCCAAGTCTTCTAAAGCTCGCTCACCTGCACCTGATACGCGAAGCAACACGCCTGCTGCTGATGGAACTTCTACTCCAACAATTCCCCAAGGCTCTGATGATACTTACAAGGGACTCACATTTGCTGGCTTGGTTGGCATGAGGGACCCCCCACGGCCTGGTGTGGAACGGTCTATTCGACGACTTATGCGAGGCGGTGTCAGAGTTATTATGATTACCGGCGATGCGGAAACTACAGCACTTGCAATTGGCAAACAGTTAGGAATGAGTGTTGCCGTTCCCAGCGCCCATTTGCCGGGTCAGAATGCAATAAAGGCTGTCCTTAGGGGAGACGAGATTGATCGGATGTCTGATGAAGACCTTGCCCAAGCGATACAGCATACTACCATTTTTGCCAGAACCAACCCCGACCACAAAATGAAGATTATTCGCGCGCTCCAGTCGCGAGGAGACATTGTGGCCATGACGGGTGACGGTGTGAACGACGCGCCTGCTTTGAAAAAGGCAGATATTGGTATTGCCATGGGACGCCATGGAACAGATGTTGCTAAAGAGGCAGCGGATATGATTTTGACCGACGACGATTTCTCTACCATTTTACGAGCTATTGAGGAAGGCAAAGGCATATTCAACAACATTCAGAATTTCCTTACCTTCCAGCTGAGTACGAGTGCGGCTAGTTTGGCCCTGGTTTTTGTCTGCACTTGCTTTGGGTTCAAGAGTCCCCTGAACGCTATGCAGATTCTTTGGATTAGTAAGTTCTTCATTCAATCATTCATATCTTCTTATGCCAGAAAATATTTGATTAACGCAGTATCAGATATCATCATGGATGGCCCTCCTGCGCAGTCTCTTGGTGTCGAAACAGTAGACCCCGATGTGATGAACAGGCCGCCAAGAAAGCGAAATGATCCAGTCCTGACCAAGAAACTTATTCAGAGAGTTCTAACCTCAGCAGCCATTATCATGGTTGGCACTATGCTCACATACCGACAGCAGATGGCCGACGGCGTTGTCACTCGCAGAGATACTACCATGACTTTTACCTGCTTTGTATTCTTTGACATGTTCAACGCTCTGAGCTGCCGATCCGAATCAAAGTCGATACTGCGTGGTGAGGTGGGATTATTATCGAATACCTTATTTAACTGGGCAGTGTCTCTGTCCATTGTTGGCCAGCTCCTTGTCATCTATCTCCCATGGCTACAGGAGGTTTTCCAAACGGAAGCTCTCTCCCTGGGTGACCTGATACGACTCATCATGCTTTGCAGCACCGTGTTCTGGGCGGATGAATTACGAAAGTATTTGAAGAATGGGCGGCGGCGTTTGGGTGGCGGATACAGTCAAGCGGTATAAAAAGAGTGTGCTTCAAAAAGATGGGATAGGAAAAGGTTTGGCAGAGGTTTTTAGGGTTGTTGATATATAAAGTATCTTGTAATAAACGGAGCATGTATGACTGGGGGAGTAGAGTAGACCCCTTGTATACCTTTACATATCATTTAGCATACGTATTCTTGCATAGAAGTAATTTGTTAGGGGTGATGATAATTTTCACGGAGAAAAAAAGTAAATGGCATAATGAGATGTATATTATATTCAGTTGCAAGATATAAATGGATGAAGACCAGTCAGTGCCACTTATAATGAAGTAGAGGTGGCCACTACCTAGGTATACATGTACCCAGCTAGCACAACCGCAGTCTCAATGACTTCGGTGTCAATGGCTTCGGTGATCAATACAATTCTGTAAATATAAAAATATATTAGATCAATTTGCGATATAATGTGCATTCAATTGGCCACATGGCGCGCACAGATTGATTGTGATGCGTGGGCACTGCCCTCTGTAATCGATCGATATGTCACCCTATGCAGGTATTCAAAGTACTGAGCCACTTGGCCCCTCCACCAAAATGGTCCCCTCTACTGTACGCATGAGCTTACCTGGCTCCAGACAGTAGCACCACAAGCCATAACCGCCAACATACAACCATCTGCTTGCTGGTGATCCCAGGAGCGGCGCAGCTACTCCAAAGCCAGGCCAGCAAAGTCCAAGGCAGCTATGCGCCTCCTCGACACTCGTACACAGCGCCAATGTCAGCTCTCTCGAACGGCGTCCTCCACCGAACGGACAACAGCAGCCATGCTGTAGCACCTCGACGTCTCCAGAATGCCGCCAGCGAGGCCGAGATCCGCGCGACGCTCGCAGCCCTTCATGAGCGCGAATCGACCATAACCGCGAGGCTCGATGCGCTGATCGAGTCGCAGGCCGACCTATCACGAGACTTGGGCAGGCTGGATCTCCTGCGGGCCGGGCTCGGCGCGCAAGTCATTGCTGCGCGCTCAATCAGCAATGAGATGCTCTCTGGAGCAGCAGACACGGCCGGGCGGCTCAGTAACCGGGTCAAGGAGCTGGATCTGGAGAAGAGCCGCGTGGAGGATACGCTGGGAGTCGTGGAGCAGGTGGCAGAGCTCAAGGCATGCGTCAATGGCGTGGTTGGCTCCATGGGAGCGCCGCAAGACTGGGAAGCGGCCGCAGGCTACATCGCCCGAGCGAGCAAGATCCCAGAAGAGATAACGAAGGGAGCCTTTGCCGCCAACATCGTGCCCAGCGTCGAGGTCCCTGATGCTCCATGGATAACGCTGGAGAATGCCAAAGAGAGCCTGTGCGGCCTCTTCTTGCGTGAGTTTGAGAAGGCGGCTGCCGAAGGAGACGGCGCCAAAGTAACGAGGTTTTTCAAGCTGTTTCCTCTCATTGGGAGAGCGGATGTGGGATTGGATGTATACGGGAAATACGTGTGCCAGGGAGTTGCGGGCACGGCACGAGCGACGCTGAAGGACGGCATGGCGGGCCAGAACCGCAAAGAGGGCATCATCTATGCCAATTCACTTACGAGGCTCTTCCAACACATCGCACAGATCGTTGAGGGCCATGGAGGATTGGTCGAGAGGCACTATGGCACTGGGAAGATGGTTCGCGTCATCGAGAGGATCCAGATGGAGGCGGATGTCCAGGGCGGCATTATCCTTGACACATGGAGCGACGAGCGAGGAGTCGACAAAAAGCTGACGGATGTAAAGAGTTATCCGTTTTCATTCTTAGTGCAGAGCTTCTTACCACAACCTCCTCGAGGGGGGATCCCGAGACTGAATTCGCCTGCGGCTGGCTTGGGCAACAACCCTCGCAACAGTGAGGACGAAGGTGTCAACATGAAAGAAGTCGATGGTTTGCTGCATGAGATTTCTGTTATGCTTGCACAGTGGTCGTTTTACACTCGATTCATTTCGGCCAAATCTATGGTGCGTACAACTGCTACATGAGAGTTTCTAGCTTGGTTTTTTTTTTTTTTAACATGATGTCTTCTAGGATGCAATCGATGAAGATGTGCCTTTGAAGCTTGCAGAACTGCTCATCAAGTCTAAACTATACAGCAAGGTATCTTCAAAGCTAATATCGCCTTACAACGTCATGTCGACCTTCTTCTTTCGTCGGTCTGTTGAAAAGGCATTTCAGCTGGACGAGTACCCTAGTGGCTTGTCATTGAGTCTCCATAGACCCGTTGAGGGCAACACCCCGTACATAATACTCGCTGTTGATGATGTCATGTACATTGTCAATGCTGTGCTTCAGAGGTGCCTCTCTACCTCACAGAAAGACGTCGTTACTTCAGTCGTTCCATCTGTTAGCCGGGTTCTAACTGGCGACTTTGTGGGTATGATACAGAGGAAAATGCGCGACGAGTCGTATCCCAAGGCCGCTGTGCAGGGCGGCTTCCCGCCAGAAGACAAGATTATACAATTTATCGTTCTGATCAACAGCTTGGACATGGCCAATGAATACCTGGTCAGAATTATCCACGGTCGCATTGGCTCTCCAGATGAATCAGCACAACATAAAGAAGAGGTTGATGCTCAGTTGAAACAGTCATTCCCATTTGATCGCGATGTGACTGCTGTCATTGGCGCTCTGCGCTCATTAGAGACCGCCTTCCTCGGAAAGACAAATGAGCTGTTGAACGAAGCGGTTCAAGTTCTATTTAACCAAGTTGTTAAGCTACGCTTGAGGCCAGTCCTAAGCGATACGTTCCGTGACGCCGACTACACACTTACAGAAGAAGACATTGCAGAAATTGCTCAAGAAAATGACGAGTCGGAAGAGGTTGTCCTAGATCAAGTGTCACGTCGCTTTGAACATGGATGGGATCAGCTCATGAAGGCCATCGGCCGCATCATGACGCCAGGGACTTTCAGCAGCCTCATGGACATGACAGCCCGCTACCTCTCGCGAATATTGGAGAAGAGAATTCTCGGCTACGGCGGAAGGACAAGCGCATATGGCGCAATCCGGATGGAGAGGGACTTCTCAGCTATCGTGGATGTCGTCTCTCGAGGAAATTATAGTGTAAAGGAGGTATTTAGCAGAGTGATGCAGCTGCTCATGGTTGCAAATATGGAAGATGACGAGTGGGATGAGATTATGGTTCAAGATGGAGAGGATGGCATCGACTGGGTTTTGACAGAGGATGAAAAGCGAAGAGCAAGGAGTTTGGTGAGAGGATAAAGAGGAAGGAGATGGAAAATGTTTGCAGCGCGACATTGTTTGATTTAGGACGTTTATTTAAGCCAGGCATAGATGCCCTCCAAGCTAGGATTGCTGTGATTCTCATTTAGACTATATATAGGTATAGGTAGTTAACAAGGCAAGAGCATAATAGAAAGGGTGTCACATCACGCCGTGCGCATAAACACCATATCGAAAAATAAATACACATGTTTCAGACTAAAGGCAAAAGATCATCAAATAGGCCGAGATGATTGCCTTGTCAGTTTCTGTGCTGCAAAGTTCCAAAACACTGGTTGACGGAGTGGCTCGTCAGCGCTCGGGGTGGCGTCGGCATCGCTAGGTTGACACGGCCGCCACATGAAAATTTCCGCCCGCCAAAATTTCATGCAGCGAAACCGGCTGAGAGTTTGCATATTAACATCAAGCCTGCATAGAAATTGTGTACAGCAACTCAGATTTCTCGCTTCATTTTCATATTTGAGATATCAAATAAACATAAGCACAGCTTATCATTTTTTTTTTTTCTCTCTCGTCTCATCTCAATCAACGCTTCGTCATTAATAGCGTCAAACGTCAAGATATCAAATTCAGAGCCCCCACCAACTTCGTCATAATTTCTTCTCTGAGCAGGGTTGTTTATCGAGGCTGGCCTCGCGCACTTGCAACAACGTCAGCGCCAGTCTGTCGAAGCTTCACAGCCGTCCGCGAGACGTCCACCATGGAGACGAGAATAGTCCGAGTTGCTCCCGGCAAGGGGCAGCTCCTTGGACGGTTTGACTCATCAGACGGCGCTTCAAAGCTCGAAGAATGGCACATCTCACCGGATGCCGGAGAAGCCATCGCGGTTCTTAAAGATACGGCCAAGTATCTCCGAACCAGCGATACACCTGTAGCTTTCCCTACGGAGACGGTTTATGGCCTCGGTGCGGATGCGACTCGAAGCGGCTCTGTGAAGGGCATCTATTCGGCCAAGGGCAGACCTTCAGACAACCCCCTCATCATCCACATTTCAGACTTACACATGCTGCGCGAGCTTTTGGGGAAGAAGAGAGACGACCAAGATGCGATACCAAGCAAGTATAAAGTGCTGATAGAGCGCTTCTGGCCCGGCCCTCTGACGATATTGCTGCCTAACCCGCAGCCTTCGAAGCTGGCCCCCGAGGTTACCGCAGGGCTCGAGACATTTGGCGCGAGGATGCCGTCCTCGCCTTTGGCTTTGAGCCTCATCAAACTTGCCGGAGTGCCCTTGGCTGCTCCATCTGCAAACGCCTCTACCAAGCCATCACCCACAGCCGCACAGCACGTCAAGGATGACCTGGATGGACGGATTGAGATTATCCTCGATGGGGGCCCCTGCCAAGTTGGTGTTGAGAGCACCGTCGTGGATGGTCTCTGCGAGCCCCCCGTGGTGCTTCGGCCAGGAGGCATTAGCATGGAAGAGCTTCGAAGCTGCCCCGGCTGGGAGAACGTCGTCAAGGCCTACAAGGATCACAGCGAGGAGGGAAAATCAGCGCCGAGAGCTCCAGGGATGAAATACAAGCATTACAGCCCCAAGGCGAGAGTGGTGCTCTACGAGTCTACGTATAAGGCTGGCGATGAGGGCGTTTTGCCATCAGACTTTGAGGTTGTCAGCGCCACAGAGAATGGTAGTACGGAAAAGACAAACGGCCATACGGCAAAGAGAATAGGCGTCATTCGGACACAGCGATGGAAATCGGGAGCTGGTCTCCAATGTGGTCCTTTACAGCCTGCCCCCATCAACCAGGATGCCCATGATGAGGAATATCTCAACCCTGCGTATTCAGTATATAAGGGGGATCTCAAGAATAACCAGGGCCAGGTCATCGGCGAGCTATTTGATATAGACCTTGGACAGGACGCTAAGAGAATAGCTCAGGGGCTATTCTCAGCTTTGCGGGAATTGGATCGTCGGAGTATAGACACAATCTTCGTCGATGGGATAGAAAATGAGTTGGACATTGCCGCTGCTGTTATGAATCGCCTTCGTAAGGCAGCATCAGAGATACGGTCATGAGTGATAGAGCGCTGGAATAGACAAAAAAAGGAAGATGCATAGATTCGTTATACCCTACCCTGTATATAAGCCGATCTCGTTTGAAGAAATTAAGAGAAACATGAAAAAAACAACGTAAAAAGACTAATCAACTACAAGAGCAATCCTTTTAATGTGACAGGCCGCTTTGAATAACATAAACTCCAACCAATCCCAGGTCTTTGTATTTAGAGCCCTTGCCGAAGCCAGTCTGACAGCTTGGACTTTCCGAGCTGTGCCAAGTTGTTGACGCCCTGTTCGCTGAAATCGATGCGACCCAGGGGAACATCTTGAGTGGGCGCGCGGCTGACTCGCTGGACAATGATGGTAGGGTCCGTCTCCAGGATGATACCGTCATCGACGATTTCGTCGATTGCGAGCGAGACAAGGTCGTAGTTTTCGACAATGGTCCTCTTGTCAACAGATTGCCTGATTCGGATATTAGCCATGTTCTCCCAACCAATCTGAAATAACCTGTAGACATTGAAACTACTGACTTGAACAGAAGATGAAGAGAGTCGCGAAGAGCCAATACTGTGTTGTAGAGCAGAATCTCGTTCTCGTCGGCGGCACCAACGACGTAGAGCATGACATCGGACTCCATCTTGTACAGGACAATTCGGTTGTCATACAGGATGATGTCTCCGGTCTGCTTCGCCGTCTTGTCGATAAGGCCCTTCTCGAATGCCTTCTGCGCCTTCAGGTCTGTATAAGGATGGGTCGGTATGCTTGCGCCTCCTATTGAACAAGCTCGCAATTAGCAATGGCGCAACACGTAATCGCAAGTTGCTGATCCCTTAATCATTGCGTACCAGTGGGAGCGGCGTGGGGAGGAGAATAGTATTTGGTGAATATCCGGGAGCCATCCTCGGTGCCAAGGATGAGGACTGCCTGGACGGCAAAGAGGGTCATTCCAGGAGACATTTTGGGCGGTTGGGCGATCTGATGCTCTGAGAGATGATGATAGCGATACCAGGCAAGCTCCGACTTGACATTACTATCAAAAGGTGTCCCCCCAAAAAGAGCCCCGCCAACCAAGCATTGGCCCAGGACGCGGCTTAACCTTTCGCCGTGCGCCGGCGCTTAACGCGTCCCCTGCTCCAAGGTCGCGTCTAAAAAGCACTTTACGCGTCTTTAGAAGCAATTTGGCAGAAACGCGAACTCCACCGCCCTTGCCTGCATCTGCCCCTCGTTTTTGCTGTGGGATTTCGCCCAACCGTCCAGCTCCAGCAAAAAAACCCCAGGCTCGTTTTGGTGACCGTCGACAACCTCAATTCCTGTTCATTGAACCGCAGAAAAGATGTCGACGCCAAATCGAAGGCAGAGGGACTCGCAGTCCGCGACGCCTCGCCGTTCCGCACGGCAAGCTGAGGCCGCACAAATGGTGTCGAGTCCCTTGTTCTACCAGTCCTCGCCAGCTCCAAGCCAGGGCATGGATGAGGTCATGGGAGATGTTTCTTCGCCTCTGCGGCAGATGTCGAACAGCCAGAGCACGCAGCATGCCAGTGGGCCTGCGCCGAGCTCGCCCTTGAGGCAGATGACCGATACCCAGTCGACTAACGGTGATGGCAATCGAACTCCTCGGGCCAGCGGCGGCCTTGCGGGAGGTAAGGCTTATGATGATGCTTCTTAGGAGCTTAGACCCCGGACTTACAATTGAATCAACGCAGAATCATCTCCTATTCGATACGAACCCAGCTCCAGTCCCGGCCGAACCCCAAGGCTGCATTCGGATCTGCGCAGTGAAAGCAGTGGCCTCTTTGTTGGCTCCAGTCGGGGCACATCCTACAGACGTGGAGATATCAATTCAGACACGGTACGGACGCCACGTGCTCCTCGACGTGTTATTCTGGATGAATCTGGTCGAGTAATGCGAGAAGGCCAAGCTCCTGGATCTGATGCTGCCTCATTCGTAAACCGAGATCCCAACACCTCTGAGGCCGATATCCTGGGTGGCCCCGGCCAGAGTCTCATTTGGGGTACCACCGTGTCCATCGACGATACCTTTTCTACTTTCAAAGACTTCTTACGACACTTCACGCTCAAGTACCGCATGTACCGAGACGGCCTTTCAGATGCCGAGGTGAATGCTTCATCCGATGCCGAATCCAAGCCATACTGGGAGGCTCTGCAGAACATGCTGCTGCTGGGTACGACTCGACTCTATCTCGATATTTCAGACTTGAACCTCTACCCACCGACACGAAAGCTATGGCATCAGATTCAAGCCTATCCTCAGGAAGTAGTTCCTGTCATGGATCAATCTGTTCACGATCTGATGCTGGAGCTTGCTCAGGCTGAAACAATGAGAAACCGACCCTCCCAGAGCAGTGCCGGACAGCAAGCTTCCCAGCGAAGCACACAAGGCTCTGAACCAGTATTCCCCAGCTCTGACCGGCCAGATGAAGGCATCACTCCTACACCCCGCCCCCGAGATGAGGACCCTACATTGGAAGATCAGGTAGCAGCCTCACTATACGTCGTGCGTCCGTTTGGTCTTGACAAGTTGACCAACTTGCGAGATTTGAACCCTTCCGGTAGGAGCCAAGAAGAATGATTATCGTTTGTTTGAAGAAGATGGCTAATATGTGATTCAGACATGGACCGCCTCGTTTCCATCAAGGGTCTTGTTATCCGTACCACACCTGTTATCCCCGACATGAAGGATGCATTCTTCCGGTGTAACGTCTGCAATCATTCCGTCAATGTCGGCTTGGACAGAGGCAAGATTCGAGAGCCCACTGAATGCCCACGCACGATGTGCGCCTCAAAAAACTCAATGCAAATTGTGCACAACAGATGTTCATTCGAAGACAAGCAAGTCATTAAGCTCCAAGAGACCCCGGACAGCATCCCCGCTGGACAGACACCCCATTCAGTATCTGTATGCGTCTACAACGAGCTTGTTGATTTCTGCAAGGCTGGTGACCGTGTCCAGTTGACTGGCATTTTCCGTGTTAGCCCTGTGCGGGTAAACCCTCGACAAAGGGCTATCAAGAGCATCTACAAGACATATGTGGACGTCCTACACGTCCAAAAAGTCGATAAGAAACGTCTTGGGGCTGATGCATCTACACTTGGCGTGGAAGGTGAGGATGAGACGGAAACAGGAAAGAATGAGATGGAGGAGACCCGTCGCATTACGGCTGAAGATGAGCTCAAGATTCGGGAAATTTCACGTCGCCCTGACATTTACGAGCTTCTCGCGCGATCGCTCGCTCCCTCAATTTACGAAATGGACGACGTTAAGAAGGGTATTCTGCTGCAGCTGTTCGGTGGAACAAACAAGACCTTCCAAAAGGGCGGTAGCCCCAAATACAGAGGCGACATCAATATCCTACTTTGCGGTGACCCGTCCACCTCCAAATCGCAAATGCTTTCATATATCCACAAGATTGCCCCGCGTGGTGTATATACCAGCGGTAAAGGCTCTTCGGCCGTCGGTTTGACTGCGTACGTTACTCGCGATCCTGAAACGAGGCAATTGGTCCTCGAGTCCGGTGCCCTGGTACTTTCTGACGGGGGTGTTTGCTGTATCGATGAGTTTGACAAGATGAATGAGTCAACTCGATCTGTGCTTCACGAAGTGATGGAGCAGCAGACTGTGTCAATTGCCAAAGCCGGTATCATCACGACCCTCAACGCTCGAACTAGTATTCTTGCCTCTGCCAACCCAATCGGCAGTCGCTACAACCCTGATCTATCCGTTCCGCAAAATATCGATCTTCCACCCACCCTCCTCTCCCGTTTTGACCTTATCTATCTTATTCTCGACCGCGTAGATGATAAGGCTGATCGCCGATTGGCAAAACATCTTCTATCGATGTACTTGGAAGACAAGCCCCAATCAGCGCCTACCAGTGACGATATCCTCCCCGTCGAATTCCTTACTCTGTACATCTCATACGCACGCTCCAACATTCAGCCAGTGATCTCGGATGAAGCAGCCCAAGAGCTTACCGACAGCTACGTTGCCATGCGTGCTCTTGGACAAGACGTGCGCGCCGCTGAGAAGCGCATTACAGCCACCACTCGACAGCTGGAAAGTATGATCCGTCTCGCCGAAGCTCACGCCAAGATGCGACTCTCCGAAACTGTCACTAGGGACGATGTTCAAGAAGCTTACCGCCTCATTCAATCTGCTCTCAAGACTGCCGCTACAGACTCCGAAGGAAGAATTGACATGAGCCTGCTCACAGAAGGCACTAGCTCTGCTGAACGGAAGCGCCGCAGTGATCTCAAGGACGCGGCACTGCGGTTGCTCGACGAGATGACTGCCGGTGGAAACACCGTCCGCTGGAGCGACGTGTCTAGGAGGTTGGCTGAATCTTCCAGCGTGCCTATTGAGCAGGCTGAGTTTAATGAGGTGATGAGAACTTTGGAGGCCGAGAATGCCATCATGGTGTCTGGTGAGGGTGCGAGAAAGAGTGTTCGGAGAGTTACGGCCGTTGTTTAAGGAAATATGTGTTACGCTGGTTTCTGTACGGAAAGAAAAACATTGGTTTATTGGTTTTTGTGATGTTTTATCATTTGGTATGAAATGCTTTTTTGATGATCAGAGAAAAAGAGTTAGAGAGCTAGAAATAATTTAATGCGAATGTCAGTGAAGACACCTTTGATATATGAATTTCATGCAAAATCGAGAAAGTCTGTGATAAGGAAACATGCATTTGAAAAATATGCATTTGGTGGGTTATCCTAAAAAAAAGAAAAGAAGAAGAAGAGAAAAAAAAAGAAAACACTCTCAACTCCTTGCTCAGTCCTCCTCCCTCCACGCTGCTCGCCACTAATATCCCGTCATCTTTTACAAGTACAGTGACAGAAGTCCACGTACAATAGAAAGCTGAGCATGCTTTATTATACACACCTTGCAATTACGCCAAATTAATACAGTTTTGGAAAGGGGTTATGCTCTTTACCAGTATTTCCTCTCCCGGCCTTCATATACAAAGTTGAAAGCGGCAGCCACAAACAGGGCAGTG